ATTGTGAAGCTTGGAAGCTAGCCCTGCCCTGATCATCTGTGCTGATCCCTGTGATGTGTAGCTTCCACTTTGAGAGTGTCTTGGCTCAGGGAATAGAAAGCAAGTTTAGGGTCTTTCTGATGTTGAAAGTATAATAGGAGACCGTCGTGTATGGCCAGAACACAAAGGGTTCTACTTGCAATATTGGGAGAATAGACAGACATCAGTGTCGACATTACTGCTAGTGGGTTTCACACTAGTCTGTAGGTGAATTTCTACCATCTCTGGGGTCCACAATGCCTCGAGGTGATCATTTGTTTTTGAAAAGAGGACGTTTTCTGTTCCAGGCACATCATGTAATCTAATGGTTAATTTCCTCTGAATGGGTGTACCTTCAAAGCAGAATGCACAGAATTACCATAGGTAAAGTTTCCAGAAAGGAAGTGCAGATGTGAAAACTTGCCAACAACTTAGTTTACATGAGAAGTTGGAATTCTTATCAAATTCAGACTATATAAGAATGTTAAAAAAAAAAGAAACAGAGAATAAAATTATGAATAGGAAACCAGACACTATATGAAGGGCCAAGGAAATGTGAAAATAATCCAAGCCATCACCTGTCCTTACCAAACATCATTTGCAAAACACAAACAAAATCAAACAAAAATCCCACTTTAGTGCATTAGTCTCTTTTCTGCTGCTTATAACAGAATATCTGAAATTGGGTAGCTTATAAAGAAAATAAATACACTTCTCACAAATACACAGGCTGAGAAGTCCAAGGCCAAGGGAGCATGTCTGGCGAGGGCCCTCTTGCTGGTGGGGATTCTGGAGTCTGAGGTGTGCAGGCATTGCCAGCTCAGGTCACCCTTCTTATTATAATGCCACCAGTTTCCCTCCTGTGATAGCCCATCAATCCATTAATTGACAGTGATTAATACAATCACCTCATCAAGTCCTCACCTCTCCATATGACCATATTGGTGATTACATTTCAACATAAGTTTTTGACAAATAGACAAACCATAGTATTCATGAAGTAGAAAAATAAGACCAAAATGAAAGCTCTCAGTTGAAAATATGAAAAGAAAAAATAATAAACAAATTGGTAAATATGTTTGAAGATTTAAATAATCATCAATCACCTATGTACAACAATAATAGTATTTATGAGATTTATAAAATTGAGTGAATAATTATAATTTATTGTCTAACTTAAGGTTTTTAATTTTAATTTATTTTAATTTTAATTTAATTTTAATTTATTGTCTAACTTAAGGTTTTTTAAAAATAACTAAAATACTGAACAGCAATGCATGTAATTCAGGAGGGAATAATAAATATTAAAGAAGAAGATAAGACTATTACTACTAAGTACATACTAAAATTTCTAGAAAATCTACTAAATGAAAGTATGAGAAAATAAAAACTGACTAGGAGGAAAGCAAGTCAAAAAGTAGGGAAAATAGACATACACATAGAAAGCACCAGCTAAGATGCTCCAGAGAACTCCAAAGAGAGCGGACACTTCAGGGAATATAAGGAGACTAAACTATCCAGTAAAAAGACAAATTCTGAGATTGCATTTAAAGAACAATCTAAGTGCATGCTGTTTGGAAGTGAAAATCTAAAGCATAGGAGCCTAAATCATTTGAAAGAGCAAATGTGTACCAGCAGCATGTACAAGAATTTTCACTGCAGCATTTTTTATTAGGGCAAAAAGAAAAATGACCCAAAGACCCATCAAGAGGAGAATGGAAAAATCATGGTGCATTCAAGCAATGGAAAACTATACAGCAATGAAAATGAGTAGACTAGAGCATCATACCTAAACATAGAGGACTCCCAAAAACATAATACAAGCAAAAAATGAAGAGAGAGAGAGGGGCACAGAACTTGCAATATATAATTCCAGTTAAGCATTCAATTTCAGGAAACTGATATATGTGGCTAAAACTAGGATATGTACATTTATGGTAATTATCAAGAAAACCAAGGGAATGATAAATATAAAATTCAGAAGGTTATTTCTGCTGAGGTGGAGGAGAAGGTGATGGTGGAAGGGTATATATTCCTATGTGTGATAATATGGATGCACTGGTAAATATTCTGTTTCTTAGAGTTGGTATTCCTATGTGTGATAATATGGATGCACTGGTAAATGTTCTGTTTCTTAGAGTTGGTATTCCTATGTGTGATAATATGGATGCACTGGTAAATGTTCTGTTTCTTAGAGTTGGTATTCCTATGTGTGATAATATGGATGCACTGGTAAATGTTCTGTTTCTTAGAGTTGGTATTCCTATGTGTGATAATATGGATGCACTGGTAAATATTCTGTTTCTTAGAGTTGGTATTCCTATGTGTGATAATATGGATGCACTGGTAATTGTTCTGTTTCTTAGAGGTGGTATTCCTATGTGTGATAATATGGATGCACTGGTAAATATTCTGTTTCTTAGAGTTGGTATTCCTATGTGTGATAATATGGATGCACTGGTAAATGTTCTGTTTCTTAGAGGTGGTATTCCTATGTGTGATAATATGGATGCACTGGTAAATGTTCTGTTTCTTAGAGTTGGTATTCCTATGTGTGATAATATGGATGCACTGGTAAATATTCTGTTTCTTAGAGTTGGTATTCCTATGTGTGATAATATGGATGCACTGGTAATTGTTCTGTTTCTTAGAGGTGGTATTCCTATGTGTGATAATATGGATGCACTGGTAAATGTTCTGTTTCTTAGAGTTGGTATTCCTATGTGTGATAATATGGATGCACTGGTAAATATTCTGTTTCTTAGAGTTGGTATTCCTATGTGTGATAATATGGATGCACTGGTAAATGTTCTGTTTCTTAGAGTTGGTATTCCTATGTGTGATAATATGGATGCACTGGTAAATGTTCTGTTTCTTAGAGTTGGTATTCCTATGTGTGATAATATGGATGCACTGGTAAATGTTCTGTTTCTTAGAGTTGGTATTCCTATGTGTGATAATATGGATGCACTGGTAAATGTTCTGTTTCTTAGAGGTGGTATTCCTATGTGTGATAATATGGATGCACTGGTAAATGTTCTGTTTCTTAGAGGTGGTATTCCTATGTGTGATAATATGGATGCACTGGTAAATGTTCTGTTTCTTAGAGTTGGTATTCCTATGTGTGATAATATGGATGCACTGGTAAATGTTCTGTTTCTTAGAGTTGGTATTCCTATGTGTGATAATATGGATGCACTGGTAAATGTTCTGTTTCTTAGAGTTGGTATTGTTCTCATCATGTTGTAGATACTCACTTGCATATATTTCAGTGCAACACAGATCTGTTTGAGAGAAATAGTGAATGGTGAAGACTGCTTCTGGGCTCAGTTAGCTTAGAGAATAGTAAGGAGAAAGACAAGTTAGCAAGTTTTCACACTTCATCTTCACAGCAGACTTAATAACTTAGATACTAGTCTAATTTTTACTGATTTGTTAGCTTTAGATAACTGTGTTTAAGTGATATTAAGTACTAATTAGGTACTAAGTAAGTCCTCATGGGATTTGAGTTACGTCTGGCCAACCATAGGATCCCTGGTGTCTATATCATATGACACTATTGGGTCGAGTTTGGTCTTTTAATCAGTGCGGTTTAATCATTTCTCTTGTCTTGAATTATTTGTTCATTGCCTTTCCTATTAGGTTAAAATTGCCTGAATAGCACAGAGCAGGTCTTATCCATTTTCATTTCTTCTAACTTTTTATTTAAATGGATTTTATTTCATTTATCTATGGACATATGTATATTCACACAAGCGCATGTACAATTGTGCTTCAGAATTTATAAAACAAAAAGCAAAGCCTTGTCATTAAGTCTTCAAGTATTAAAATTGACAATGTGATGGTGTGTATATAGAATAATACACTAATCTCTTTTTTTGGTCTTTCATGAAACATGGTGTTGAAAACACTGACTTTGCAGGGAAAAAAGTCAGCTTTTAATCATCTCTTATGCAGTGGAGTGGAAAAAATAACTCATTATTCTAATTGAAAGTAAAAATTAAAAAAAAGTTAAACTTTGAATTTTTCAGGAGTATCTTTCTAATTCTCAGTACAACTCATAATACACAACAATTATAGACACTGAAGAAAGCAACTTCTATTTCTTGAGGCTGCTGTATTTCAGTGTGATGGTGGGAACTCCGGTGAAAGCTCTGGGCTCAAGGGAGCCTACGGTGATTGGCCGCAGGCAGAGTTGATGGCTGCCTATGGGACGTGATTTTAGGCTCATTGTTTGCAATGCACTTTACACAGATTGCCAGAGACTGACATGACAAAGCTCCATTGTCCCCTGAAAGCACACTCACCAGCCTGCTTTGACGATTCCGGCCTCTACTCAACAGATTTGAGATTCTTTATATATACACAAAAAGGCAGGATATTATTTTCAGAACTTTTGGTAATATTAGGGTGGCCATATAATATATTGTTCAACTTGGAATTCTTAGGGTGAGTGAATGGGGATTCTTAATAATTTTGCCGAGGCAATGGCACTGATGGGACCTGTGGGATCCTGGGTAAAACTCACTGGTCATCTCCTCTGGCCGTCTCCACTTGGCATCTCAACAAAGGTTAGCGGATCACCTTTGAAGATACAGACCTTAAAGGAATTCTTCCTGTTTTGTTTTCCTTGAGACTGGTGTACTTTAATTTATGTTACTTGCAGTATGGGGTTTCATTAAAATATTGCTAAAGAGAAAATCAGTCTGTCTATATGTATTATTCTAAGGATAATGTAATTTTTTAAAAACCCTTGATACGTTTCATCATTGGTTTCTAGAATTTACTCAACATAAGCACAGTGAAGATGTATGTTATTAAGTGTATCCCTGGGAAAAGAAACTGTTTCCCTATGTTCATGGGTAGACAAATGACTTATTATGCCAAGGAAGAGTACTTCAACCCACAGGACCAACGACACCTCCAGGAGTGTGGAAACCACGTTTTCCATCCTGTGACTCGGCCTTCTCTTTCGTTTGCAGCGTCAATTGCAGCCACCTGCAATGATCCAGGTATGCCTCAGAATGGCACCCGCTATGGAGACAGCAGAGAGGCGGGAGACACCGTCACGTTCCAGTGTGACCCCGGATATCAACTCCAAGGACAAGCCAAAATCACCTGTGTGCAGCTGAACAACCGGTTCTTTTGGCAACCAGATCCTCCTACTTGCATAGGTATCAGGCAACAGAACTTGGAAATTTTATATTCAGGGGTGAATGCGTGTTGTCGTTAAAGTTCTCCGTAAATGCATTATTTCTCCACAATATTTCTCAAGAGCTTATTTCATGTTCTCTGGCTCTCTGACACTGCCGAAATTTTACTATAAACCTTTATACTTTATTTTATTAGGTGGAATAAAGGAAATCATCCCCTTAATGTACAGCAATTGATATTTACTATACATTTCCTGCCCTTAACAAATGTTATGTAAACATGGATCAATCAAATTACTGCAATTTAAAATTCTAGGTGGCTCAAAATGTATAGCCCTGCCATTGCTATTCTGATTTTTAATATAGAAGCATGCCCTTTGGCAAAACCTAGTCACAAAAAGTACTTTCTCTTTTTAGATGTTTTCCCCCTTATAATATTAGTACATTTATAATAGAATTCTGAAAACTAGAAATTATACTGCTTGTATTAAAATGAAGATAAAAGGTTTGTTTCTACAATTTATTAGCGTTTTATAGTTTGACCTTATTAAAAGGATAACAAATGATTTTGCAGACTTTGGCTTGAGTAACCACCTGAGACAATTTATTACAAATACAGTTTTATGCTAATATACATTTTTATGTAAAATAGTAATTACAGATAATCTCTTTATTCAATAAGATATTTTACCATAAAATTCCTACTTAGAGTATATTATCCTAATTTTAAAAGAAAACCCTACTGAACTTTATTATCTTAAGGAACGATCACCGTTTAATTAGTAGTTCTTTATAATCTGTCTGAAAAACGCAAAATTTAATTGACGTGTGAAGAGAGAAAGTGATCATGAAATGGATAGGCCATTTTGCCTAGGATGACCATGGGGGGATTTGGGGTTTGAAATGATTTTTATTGTCGTGTAGACAGTGGTGGTAAAATTCTCAGTGGTCTTGGAGAGCTATGCTACAGGGCTCTTACTTATGACAAACTACTTGTCACAGTTTTCTAGAGATAGATGAGGTTTGATGGCTGTGCTTGTTAGCATTCTCAGCCTTGTCGGGAAGTGAGCCATGTGTGTTTAATGTTTTATGCTGCATTTAGTTTTCATAACGTCTGCGAGCATAGTCACGCATTTTATTCAAGCTGAGTCATCAGGAGACTTGCAAGATTTCGGCATGTTTCTTTTTTAAAGTAGAGTGATTGCCTGTAAATGTGGCAATCATTTTAAACCAATGGCCTATTTTTACATTGAGAAAGGGATTTTTTTCCTTCCATTTTGCATATTTTTAGGCTCATGGAGGAATACATTAAAAAAAGAGTTAATCTCTTAAAAGTAATTTATTTCTTTATATTGATCTGAACATGTAATTATACAATTTGGCCATCTCCTAATTATCCTGTAAACAAATCCATCTCTTGTTAGATGGTCTCTTAGGTATTTTATTTGGACCGGCAAATAGGTAACCCAGTACTCCACAAAAGATAAATACATAACCCTGTCTCTGCCTTGAACGTCAGCTTCAAGGACAAGCTAAAATCGCTTGCAGACAATTGAATAATCAATTATTTTGACAAGGAGACCCGCCTACATGCCTAAGTATTATGTAACAGAAAAATGAAAAATATATAATTGGAAATAAATTCACATTATATCTTTTATCATATTGTAATTTTCTGTTTTCCAGGTTTTTGTCCTCTGTAAGAAGCCTGGCCATTAGGGCATCATTTAATCATAAATAGCACTCATGTAAACTCTGTTTCAAAGATTCAAAACACTTTAATTTTTTTACCTTTTTTCATATTACCTTTTTCATATTTTATTAAAGACATTTTGTAAACTCTTAAATCAAAAAGAGGAGAAAAAGGTGTTCATCTTTTTACCTGCTGACAATTACAATTAATATAAATATTTATAAATAATTTCATAATTGTGTGTATAGAATCTATTTTAAAATGTTTAGGCTGAATGTGGTAGCTCACACCTGTAATCCCAACACTTTAGGAGTCCAGGGCAGGTGGATCACTTGAGGTCAGGAGTTTAAGACCAGTCTGGTGCAACCTCATCTCTACTAAAAATATATAAATTAGGTGGGCACGGTGGCATTTCCCTGTAATCCCAGCTACTCGGGAGGCTGAGGGACGAGAGTCGCTTGAACCCAGGAGGCAGAAATTGCTATGAGCCGAGATCGCACTGTTGTACTGCGGCCCGGGTCACAGAGCGAGACTCTGTCTCAAAAAAAAAAAAAAAAAGTTTTAAAATGACAACATCCTGCAAGACTATTTTGTAAATTGAGCTGTTTACTTACCAGTACATAGTGTGTATCTTTTGTGCTACTGTGTATTTTCTACTGGTTTTTAATGACTAAATTGTATCTGTTTGGAAAGTGGCTTTGCTCACAACCACACCTCCAGTGCCACTCTCTGGTATCTGTTTGTTTGAATCTACCAATATTGATTTCTCTAGACCCTTATTATTGTATAATTAAGTTGTTTTAACATTTTCCCTATTCTGAAGATGGCTGCAATGAGCGCCCATGTTGCAAAATACATCACAATTATTGACAAATGACATATTTCTACAAACTCACCTGTTCCTAGGACTTTTAAAACACCCTTGTTTTTGTTTCTTTGAGACAGAGTCGCTGGAGTGCAGTAGCATGATATCAGCTCACTGCAACCTCCACCTCCTGGGTTCAAATGATTCTCCTGCCTCAGCCTCCTGAGTAGCCGGGATTATATCGACCACCACCACGCCTGGCTAATTTTTTTATATTTTTAGTAGAGAAAACACCACACGTGATTGTTGTTAAGGCAGAACGTGATGCTGTCTTGTTTTAATTGGCATTTTAAATTAATAATAATGAGATTGAACTTTTTTCCACATGCTTATTGGCTATTTGAAGTTGTTGTTTCCTGATCAGTTAATTTGCTTCTTTACTTTGTATTATTAATGTATGTTTACTCATTACTGGTGTGTCTCTCACAAAGTCTCTTGACCTCTCGCCTGTTGTGTGTGATGACATTTATTTTCAGCACCTGCTGTTTGCTGTTGTTTTTTTCTTGAGTGTTGCTTGCATGTCTCACTTTATTTTTTTCATCCCAAAGGACTCCGACCATGAATGGTCCTCTGCTTAGCTTTTTCACTGAGTCTAGAAGGAGAATTCTGTAGACCGAAGGACACTAACGAGTTTTGTTTTGTTTTGTTTTGTTTTTTTGGAGATAGAGTCTCGCTCTGTCACCCAGGCTGGAGTGCAGTGATGTGATCTTGGCTCACTGTAGCCTCTGCTCCCAGGTTCAAATGATTCTCCTGCCTCAGCCTCCTGAGTAGCTGGGATTATAGGCACGCACCACCACACCTGGCTATTTTTTGCATTTTTAGTAGAGACGGGATTTTGCCATGTTAGGCTGGTCTCGAAATCCTGCCCTGAGCTAATCCACCCACCTGGGCCTCTCAAAATGCTGGGATTACAAGGTTTAGCTACCACATCTGGCCTAAACTTTCTTATTCCCACTAAAGTGTCCCTGAAAAGTCTCCATTTTCTTATAGACTGCAGTTGCTTTTTCCTGAGTCCAAATGGCAAAATACTCTGAAAAGCCAAAATGTATCCTAGGTTTGAAGAAATTTGTTTAGGAACAACAGCCTGCCGACATACAGGTGCCTAATTAGAAAATATTTATCTCCCCCAATGGTGTGAACGTTCAAAGGTTTTAATGCAGAAATGTAGATGGGTTTTGTTAAGGATTGCAGCTTCAAACCCTTATGTTGAAGGAGCTGCTATGTATGCATGCATGTATGCTATTTAGCATGGTGGCTAAAGATTTTGAATAAGGGGTTGGTGGGTTGAAAAGAATAGGTGGACTTTATCTCTGTATCTCTTCCTTCTGGAGAATTTCCTAGCATCTCTGAGTTGCATTTTCTACTATTCCAATCCTTTCCAAAATATTTTGTAAGCAAATTAAAACCTAAGCTAACCAAAATGAAGAATACCAGGCCAAAAGAGAGAACAAACAAGGCCAGGCAACACTCCTTAATTCCACTTCCAGCTTTTAAATCACCTCATTTGAAAGTGCCTCCTGGGATCTGTGTGAGTGAGACAGGGTTTCCCCTTTGTTTGTTTTAAATCAGTGTTTGAATCATATCCCTGAACTGTTCCTGCTGGTAGCACCCTGTAGCCAGTGCCCTGAATCTGTCGTTTTTCATCTTTCAAAACCTGTGTGGAGTAGAACCTTCTAGACCTTCAGGTACCATCTTTCTCTGCATCAGCTCCCACTCTGCTTGATGCTGTCAGCAGCCACGGCGTGATACTGAGGAGACACTGCCTTGTGAGAGCTGATAAGACAATTGCTTCTGTACAGTTCATTTAAAAAAAAAAAAGCATACTGGGGAAAATCGAGTTTTAATCTATTTGTGTAAAAATTATATTAGTCTTGAGCCTATATCTGCAGAATTTATTATAAATATTTTCTGTGATAGTATTCAGAGTTTGCATTCAGGTAGACTGTGAGATCATAAGAAAAACAACTGGAGTTAGTTGTATTTCTTATAAAAAGTTAAGCTTTTAGAAATGTTAAAGACACACTCATTATTGAAAATTGTGAAGCATGCCCCTTCGTCTTCCTCCATCTTATTTACAAAACGAAGTCTCTTTTTGTGTAGGGGGAAAAATCACCAATTAAGACTTTTTTTCTACTTATTTTTTAATTCATATATGACCAATAATGGGAATAAAATAAGACATATAATTTAGTAGGAATACTATGATTTCATTTTAGTCATGCTTTAAAACAACTTCGTGACAAACCACAGTATTTGATATAAACAACTTTTAAACCCAGCATACTCTTGTATGTATCTAAAATGTTTGTACTTATAAATTCTGCAGTGTTTTCACACCTTCCCTGGGATGAGAGATTTAAGAGAAACCTTATCTCACAAATAAAACAATCCTAAACACTTTCTGATTTAAGAGCAAAAATTGGCTTGCCTATTAACCACATTGGGCTACGTAATTACTGCCTTGCTATTACAAATGTAAACATATTTAATTCAAAATCAATGACTGCAAGCACAAACTAAATTTATTATCATATAAAGTGGCTCTTTCTAGTAATACACCAAGCATTGTGATCAAACAATATTTTCAGACAGTGATGTTTCAACTCAGCTCCTCGCTGACATGTATCCTTAGTTGTCACTTAAAATTTTGGGGTTTGTTTTGCTACTTTAAAATGTGGGAAAATTAATCCAAGCCTTCCACACACCAGAGGACTGGGAGAATGTGAAATGCCATGTTTTCATTTATCCATTAACTATTTCCTGAATACTTATTCTGATCCAGAAGCCATCTAGACATTAGGGATGGAACAGTGAACAGAAGTTGGATGATCACTGTTCCATGTGAAGCAAGTACTCAAGAAGAAATATGAATGATTTTATAAACTATGAGAAGTATCAGAAAAACTTAACATGGCCGTAAAATGATGTTCATGGGATTTTTTTTTAATTTAAGTGTTTTTCTATTTGTGCATATGTTGGCAGGTGTGGGGGGGTTAAGTCATCTTTCATTTAATTGGGAACATTTTTAATTACAGGAAAGAAATTTTATTTGCCAGAAGTTTGAAAATTCTTTTTGAAAATGGTGTGGAATCTTACGTAAAATTCCTTAAGAATTACATGAAAAATGTACAGATTTACTGGGTCTTACAATTTTATATGGATAATTGATAGCCAACACATAGTCTCTTTGAGGGGGGAAAGTGCATATGAATGAGCTCTTTTTCTTAGGGAATTCTGTGGTGTCTCATTCCACACTGAATGCCTGGCATTCTTCTCTCTCCTGACTTTTTCTCTGTAACTCTTGTTCTGTGGCAGCTGCTTGTGGAGGGAATCTGACCGGCCCAGCAGGTGTTATTTTATCACCCAACTACCCACAGCCGTACCCTCCCGGGAAAGAATGCGACTGGAGAGTAAAAGTGAACCCCGACTTTGTCATTGCCTTGATATTCAAAAGGTACCGTCTCTTGCAGAACTCCTCTTTTTAGTAGGATTTGTAATGACATACCTAAAAATTACTTTTTTTATGACTTCGTAGAGTCTCCAGTGTTACATCTAGGTAAGCGCTAGATTTTCCGTCTAATGGAGACTGCACCAGGCTGTGAAATGACATGAATGGAGATACATGATTTTGCTTTGGAGCATTCTACTTACATTGATGCATGTGAATTATTTTTAAATACTGTTTATCTTGTGCACAGTGTGTTCTATGTGAAAAGGCTTAACTTACAGAATGTTCAGTAAAAGTAATAAAAGAATGGTATGGAGACACTTGGTGTAATTTCTCAATGTCTCCTATCGCTCTAAATGCACGAGAGCAAATTCATTTCCACAGCACATCCTGATGTTCCCAAGGGTAGCACTGCTAATGTCATTACAATAATTAAGACTTGCTAGAGCCTTGAAAATGAAAGTTTCCCCAAATCTGGTTGCTGTAAAGTCTGAGTCATTAGATAATCAGTCCTAAAAATAGGCTGATTTGTTCTTGCTAGACTACATGATGGAAGTTCAAATACTATGGTCATTTTCTGAAAATAAACTCTTTAAATAATTATATTATTAGTATATGGTATTTGATGATTACATTTTATTGAATCCAAAGACCTTTTCCAACTTTAGACTTTCCTTTTTGAACTAAAGAAATGTGAAGTTTTTGAAGGTGAGTCATTCTGTAGGCATTCCTATTGATCTTTTAGCTATCCAGGGCAAGTGTCTGGGATCATACCTTTTAATCTGTCAGTGGAACTAGTATTCTTTTCTAGAGATCTTTATGTCACTATTCAAGGCGTGATGTGATCACGTTCCCTCACTTGCTCCTCCTGTTGAGATCTGAGTCAGTAGAATTTTACGTTATCTGTGATTCTTAATCTTAAGTAGGTTGATAGTCATCTCTTCTTACTAAACTGCCATAAATTTACCAAATGCTACTCAGCTACTACAGAAAACCAGTGAACACTCACTGGCTATACTTCTTGGATATTTTTGCGGGTTTTGTTAACGTTAAATTTTAGTAGTGCCTTCCTTAAAATTAGGAGGCACCTCTGGCTTCGAGATATTATAAGTGGATTAAGAATTGGGGCACGGTGTGGGGCCCATGCCTGTAATTTCAGCACTTTGGGAAACCAAGATGGGGAGCACTTGAGCTCAGAAGTTTGAGACCAGCCTGGGCAACATAGCAAGACTCAGTCACTACAGAATTTGTTTTAAAAATTGGCCAGGTGTGCTTGTATTCCCATGGTTCTAGCTACTGGAGAGGCTGAGGCAGGAGGACTGCTGGAGCCCAGGAGATGGAAGCTGCAATGAGTTATGATAATGTCAAGCCTGGACAACAGAGCAAGACCCTGTCCAAAAAAAGAAAAAGAAAGAAAGAAAGAAAAAAAAACGATTGGAAGTGAACACAGAACCTTGTTAGTAGGATTTTCCTCCCTCCCATAAAGTGCAACTCATTTGATGATATGCATATTTAGAGCAGTTTTGTGTAAGGGTTTTTTTCACTGCATTTTATATATCCCTCTGAAAGTTTGAAACAGATCATCTCTAAGCCTCTCCCAACTTACAGACTGTATGACTAGCCCACCCAGTGTCCCAGAAACTTCAGGAATCAGTGAAAACCAGTGACTTCTTCTCTGATCTGGAGTTTCCATGTGCTCAAGTGGACATTTTCCTGGGAAATGGTGAGGAGGTAGAGGCTAGAATCTTGTTTGGGGATGAGGATGTCCAGCTTCCCAAACAGGAGGCTGGCAGCTGATGAGAGCTGGCCAAGATACAGTGTAAAGACGATGGCAAATTCAAGTGTGCTTTTTGTGGGAGGGTGGGAGCCTGGCATTACCAGTGATAAAGGCAAAGAATTATAGGACCTTAAGTACATATACGCTCCTTGACTCATTCAGGGCCATGGGTCTTTAGGGAGACATGTTTCATCACTAGTCCCTGTGGACCGTGGGGCTCATACACTGGGGCTCAAATTTGGTTCAAAAATTGATTCAGGTTTTGGCACACTGTTAGAGCTTAGAGATACGTGCAGCTGGCATAGGTAGAAAAAGACAGGAGTTTACTAAAGAAACCATAATTAATTGTAAATTTCACTCCAGACTGCTATACATGAATTTTGGTACAGGCAAAAAGAGAGAACAGTTAAGATATATCATGTTTTTTTCCCCCATTTCACTCCAGACTTCTATACATGAATTTTGGTACAGGCAAAAAGAGAAAACAGTTAAGATATATCGTGGTTTTTTTCCCCATGTCTGATAGTATTTGCAATGTTCTATAAATTACCAATAATCATAATTAACTAAGTCAAATATTGGGGATATGGCACGACCACATTCTAAGAACACCCTTGCAAACACTCTGAATGCAATAGTATCCCAGTAAAATTCTACTTACCCCTCACCATTCCTGCCATTCCCTATGCCTAGTAACTCCACCCTTTTATTCCTGATGTCAGCGACCTTGTCAGATAAACAGACTAAGAAACCGTCCTAAACTTCCTTTAATAAGTACATTCAGGATGTGAAGTGAGGGCATCCTTGACCCGAAACAGGATGACGTGATGCAGGCTGGGTGTGGCATTGATGATGGTGGTCCCACGTCCTGAGGTCCCCTTATAGTGCAGTGGACCACTCCAGGAGGGAATTTCTGATCCTGTTTTATCATCTGAATCTCTAGATCAAGAGGAGCCACGTAGAACATTTTAGTGATTACAGAAATAGGCAAAGAAATGGTGACCTTCTCTGTCTCTGCTGCCCCACATTTCTGCAGATGGAAAGGAAAAGGAGTGGGAGCTTCATGAATTAAGTGCTTGTTAAAGACACACACGGAAACCCGCTGTAGAGAAGAGAGGAAGAGGGAAGGGGCAGCTGCAATGGGTGGTTTTAATTCCCTACCTTATCAATTTATTCTGGTCACATCAAGATCCTAGATATCTTAACCAAGTTCAGCCTTTCCCTTAGAGTATATATACTTTTAAAGCTCACAGACTCTATCAGCCTACTCATTACTAACCACAAGTACAGCCCAGCCCTTGAGAGGTTTGGGTTTAACTTACTACTCTCTTTGAGGACTGACTCTATGTTAATATTAGAAGGGAGAGAAACAGAGAAAAATTGTGAAAGTGGGAGAAAGAGAAAGAAAGGGAGGGAGAGAGCGAAAAAAAAACTGGCATATTCAGTGATGTTGAAACGTTATGTAAGAAAGGTTACACTCTGTGCATTGTAGGGACTATTAATATTGGCTGATTTATCCAAGCAAGTGGAGGCATTTTTATTTCTTTTATTTTTTTCGACAGAGTCTCATTCATTCTATCACTCAGGCTGGAGTGCATGGGTACAGTGGTGTGGTCACAGCTCACTGCAGCTTCAAACTCCTGATCTCAAGTGATCTAGTCTCAGCTTCCTGAGTAGCTAGGACTAAAAGTATGCACCACCACACTCTACTAATTTTTGTATTTTTGAACAGATAGGATCTCATTATGTTGCCAGGCTGGGACAACTGCATTTTTTAAGTAAAAATAACATACAGTTAAAAAACAAAAACAAAAAACAAAACACCAACAACTTTAAGAATAGTCAGTAATTTCAAGGGTACATATTTTCAAAGCTAAAAATACTCAGATAAGGATGAAAGGTCCGTGGAAATGTGTCTCTCATTTGCACATTAATGGGTACAGGGAAAGGATAGCATATCTTTGCTATTTTGACTTATTCCCTTTTGGCTATGGTCAAAATAATATTGTATTGAACATGATAGTAATTAGGCAAAATGCTATTTACCACAATTGATATATTTTATATATATTGCTATTTTACTAATAACATTTTGATTCTTATTACATTTAGCTTTTGATCACTGTAATTGGAAAATCATATAAAAGCAAATAAAATGACTGTGTGGCTCAAGGCTTACCACTCTGGGAGATAAGGTAAATCCAGATTAGCCGTGTGACATAATGACTGTTGTTTTCTTTAGTTTCAACATGGAGCCCAGCTACGACTTCCTCCACATCTATGAAGGGGAAGACTCCAACAGCCCCCTCATCGGGAGCTACCAGGGTTCTCAAGCCCCAGAACGAATAGAGAGCAGTGGGAACAGCCTCTTTCTGGCTTTTCGGAGTGATGCCTCCGTGGGCTTGTCGGGGTTCGCCATTGAATTTAAAGGTATTGTGATCTCCTGAATTTGGGCGGGAGTTAATTTGTATCACGATTATTTTTATTGTAAACGTTTCTTTGTAGCATCTTACATATCTGTTTAATCTGTACATGCTGACTTGTGTCTCATCTGTCTGGGAAGACACCTGTCTCCCCCCTCTCCAGTGAAGATATTCCTGAGGTGCATTTCTCCCTTAACTGGAGGAGGAAAGATAGGGGGAAAAACTATCCAGATTCGTGGCCACATAAAAATAAATTGTGGTTTGTAAAATAAAGAGTCTAATGACATTTCAGAATTATTTTAAGATGGGTTTTAACACCTCCTAATTTGTTTCTTCAGAATGATTAAATCTAAGTATATGAAAATAACTTCATTTTATTTCAGCATTTTCTATGTGAACATGTCTGTGCCCTTCCCTGCCTCAGTGACCCATGGTTGGTTTGACAGATTTTCTGGTTTCTGAAGCTGATCAGAGCTCTATTTTTTTTTTGGTCCTCAGATCAGTGATTCACTCTTAATTCGCTATAAACCATTCCCTGCCATTCACATCCAAAGAAAACAGACTGACAAAAAAAACTGCCCTCAACTCAACATTTTGCTATTGGGTTCATAAAAATAAATATATATTTTTTGAAATTTATTTCTCATGTGAACAAAAGAAAATACAAGGTGTGTTACAAATAAGGAATAGGACTTAACAAAATATCAATTCACAGTATTGAGGGTTTTCTTTAAAAAAATGAAAATATTTATGTTTATTTACTCTTTTGAGTTCAATTTGTAGGAAAAATCTTTAAAAAAAAGAATACATTTTATGTCCCTTACCTCGTTACCAGACCTGTTTATATAGTTTTAAGTAGAAAATTGGTCTTTTTCCTCCCAAACATCTAAATCTACAAACTTTATTTTGCAGGGACAGTTACTAAAATGTACAGTTTTAAAAATTATATAATTTAGCAATCACAGTATCCTATGCCTTTGAGATAGGATCTGCCATGTTTAGGAATAGTCGAAAAGAGTACTTTGAAGCTTTTGCCACATTGTAAGACAGTTTCTGTGTTAACAAGAATTCACTAAAATGCATTTGAACACGACAGTACTTATTCTATGATAGCCCCCCAGAAAACAAAAGCAAACAAACAGACAACTCAAGAAGGAGAGTAAACAAACATAACAAATCCTCATATGACTGTGAGAATGTGCACTGCTCATTGCCCACTCCAGCAATCTGTTCTCTCTGGCATCCTAAGTCACATGAATCAATGGGCCAATGAATTAATGAAGTAAGGAGGGCCTTACAATTTACATGAAGAAAGAACTGCCTTATTTCTGTTTGGGTAACCAGTATGGCCATCTAACTGGGAGCTGTAGTTCTTGAGGTTTTTAAAGTTTTCCAGTGGAGTCTGGGAAAAAGTAAAAATCACAGGAAAGAGAACAGGAATGATGCCATTGCATGCAGCCTGGAGCAGTGATGTCATTGGATGCAGCTTGGAGCAGCGATGTCATTGTATGCAGCCTGGAGCAGTGATGCCATTAGATGCAGCCTAAATCAGTGATGTCATTGTATGCAGCCTGTAGCAGTGATGTCATTGCATCCAGCCTGTAGCAGTGATGTCATTGCATCCAGCCTGTAGCAGTGATGTCATTGCATCCAGCCTGTAGCAGTGATGTCATTGCATCCAGCCTGTAGCAGTGATGTCATTGCATGCAGCCTGGAGCAGTGATGTCATTGCATTCAGCCTGTAGCAGTGATGTCATTGCATCCAGCCTGTAGCAGTGATGTCATTGCATCCAGCCTGTAGCAGGGATGTCATTGTATGCAGCCTGGAGCAGTGATGCCATTGGATGCAGCCTAAATCAGTGATGTCATTGCGTCCAGCCTGTAGCAGTGATGTCATTGTATGCATCCTGGAGCAGTGATGTCGTTACATCCATCCTGGAGCAGTGATGCCATTGCATTCATATTGGAGCAGTGATGCCATTGTATGCATCCTGGAGAAGTGATGTTATTTTATGGAGCTTGGAGCAGTGATGTCAGTGCATCCATTCTAGAGCAGTGACATCATTGCAGCCTGGAGGAGTGATGCCACTGCATGCAACCTTGAGCAGTGATGTCATTATATGCAGCCTAGAGCAGTGATGCCAATATATCCATCCTGGAGCAGTGATGCCAATATATCCATCTTGGAGCAGTGATACCATTGCATGTAGCCTGGAGCAGTGATGCCATTGCATGCATTCTAGAGCAGTGATGTTATTGGATCCAGACCAGAGCAAGGGCTGGTGTGGATAGCAAATCAGGTGAAAAATCCAGTTCTTAGGGATGGAAAATAGAAGGGGCACCAGGGCAGTCTTGCTGTTTAACAATTCAGGAGTCTTGGCTGAGGGAATCAACCTGTCCTCCAGTGCGGGAAAGCTCAAAGGTATGCTTAAGTGGAATGGACAAGGACAACACGAAACACACCCTATTATGAAGTCATCTAGTTAGAAAGGCCGACACATTGTAAGCCAAAAAAAGTGCCAGTGATTTATCACTGAACATCCTGAACTGACAACTAAGTAATGGAACTAAAAGATTAGATGCAGTTCATTGGAAAAAAATCCTGCCATGAGAAATCAAAATTAGTGGCATAAAGAAGAAACTTGTGTAAGTGATATTTCATCAAACAGAAAACTTGACTAAAAGAGATTTATAACAAAAAGTGATCAAAAAGGACACAAGGGCAACAGACAGACATATATTAATAGATATATACTGGGAAGTGTTTTATTTTCAATAGGGGAAAATACTATGAACAAGGCCAGTGCTTCTGTTCACTAGATGCTCAGTACATTGTGTTGAATGATTGAATAAAAATTTTAAAAAAATGGAGCAACTTTTATTGTACCTACAGTTTTACTTATTTTTTTCTGTATTTGCTTAATGTGATGTTCTGTGTTGTATATGGGATTTAATTCAGTCATAGAGAATTATCAACACGTTAGCTACCATTTTTAAACATCCAGACGCTTTCCAGTGAAACATTACAGACACTGGGTTCAAGGCACGAAACAGCAAATATGTATAAAATGTGTTTTATATATACTTGTTATATAAATATATAAAATATATACGTATGTATAAATACATATTTGTTATATAAATATACTTTATATATATCATTTAATCTCAAATTCTTAATCAGATGCACAAATTCACATATAAAATCTATATGGAATTAAAGTATGTAATGAACTACAGTTTATTAAATATAACATGTTATAGATTCAATATACATAATATGTATAATAATTAAGTCTGATCACAAGACATCTCTGGTTGATGATGATACATGGATTATTAAAAATACAATTGAAAATATTGAGTAAATACAATTAATCAGGCCTTTTTTTCTTCCTCCAGGGCTTCCCAAAGTTTAGCGTTTTTATTTTTGCTTTTTCCTCATCCTTTATATATAATCTATTTCTAGCATGGTGGTACAGTGTAGGGTTACACACTTTCATTTAGAGATATTTTAGAAGATTAAAAATATTTAGGCTACCAGACAGTAACTGAAATTGACTGTAGAGCAACATGACTCTGAAGAAAAAAGGCTTTATATTTTCACCTGGGAAGAATAAATACTTAATGCAGTCAAAAGCAAATGCCTAATTGCGGGGCCCCAGAATTAGGCAGGTCTCCGCAGGGCGTCTTGGTGGAAGTGACTTAACTTTCCTTGAGTTTTAGATTCTTATCATCCTTTCCTGGTAGAGGTGTCCTGAAGATAAGAATTAAACCAGAAATGCACCCAGTTCAGTGCTTGATACATAATAAGACCTCAACACATTTTAGCAATTATTTAAGGTAGAACTATTGGCTGTTAGTATATTCTGGCACAGTATTTAATAATTATCAGTCAATATATTTTTTCCGCTAAGTTTGATATTTACTCTGTTAAGACTAACAGCAGAAATATGGTAGTAAAAGAGAGAGAACAACCATCCATCTTCATCTTCTAAGTCTGTCTACTGTTATTCGTAAAAGTGCTCTTAACTTTCAGGAACTAAACTGTTTCTGTTTGGAGAAGATAAATTCTTCAGTCTTTTCTGAAAGGTGTGGGGTGATTTTATGTTAATGTGCTTAACGTACCAAAGTTAGAAAATGAACCTCAATTTCTCCAGAGTCAGTTTCTTTGATTCAGTCCTAAAATCCATAACCAAAAAAGGATACATATATAAAAACGTAGCACTATATTTTTATGCAGACGAAGTTAATTATATTCAACTACTCAATTCTGTAATAAAGTCATTCAATTTTGTTGTAAAATACGGTTTTTGAAAAGGAAATATAGTTTTATTAAAAAGGAATTTTCTTATTTTAATTAATAGTTTCACTTGGTCACTAGCCAATCAGCAAATAATTTTGAGCATTTCTTATTTATTCAGGGCACCGTTCTGGGCCCTAAATAACACCATTAAAGAAGCAACCTACTCACATATTTAACTATTCAGAGCATTGTCTTGTTTTCTAATATATTTTTAAAAGGCTCCTGTTATCATTTCATGGATGCAGTATTTTTTTCTTCTGCTTCTTGCCTTGTTTTTCTTTTGTTGTTGTTTTCTTTTCTGAGCTTCTCTTTTTGATTTGTTTGGTTTCTTTCGGTGTCTTTCATATTTGGAGCTTTTCTCAAATGTCTGGTGATCCTCTTACACATGGAGTGAGGAGGCTTGTCAATGGTTGGACTTCACTAGAGTTTATTATTTTAACCCAGAATTCTATACCCAGCCAAAACATCAGTCAAGTGTACCAATATAATAAACAGTTTCAGACATTGAAAAAAAGAACCAACCCAACAATCAAGAATAAGATCCCTGCTCTCATGCAGTTTTCATTTCTTCTGCAGAGAAGCCGCGGGAAGCTTGTTTTGACCCTGGAAATATAATGAATGGGACAAGAATTGGAACAGACTTCAAGCTCGGCTCAACCATCACCTACCAGTGTGACTCTGGCTACAAGATTGTTGACCCCTCATCCATCACCTGTGTGATTGGCACCGATGGAAAACCCTCCTGGGACCAAGTGCTGCCCTCCTGCAATGGTGAGTGCATGCTGGGGTATTTTCTAGAAATACAGCTTTCCTTTCAAATGCAGAATCTCACTGAAGTAATGGTTTCGCATTTCAGCATGTAGTCCTCTAATCAGTGCTGCGGACTGCATAGAGAGCTAGTGTGGAATAAATATCAGGCATTCATTGATCGATCATTTAATACAGCAAGTGTGTTAGCCGTTCTCATAAGTTTCTGGGAGGAACAATAGTTTTCCCTCACCCATACAGTCTGACATTTTTCACTTCTGTTTTTTGTGTGATCTAGACATGTTATTTATAAGAGGTGCTAATTAGCCTTATCTAATTGCTTCTCTCTCTCTCTTTCTCTCTCTCCTTTCTGTCTCTCTACATATAAAATATTTACATCTACATATCTATCTGTATATCTATAAAAAAACTAATATGTATGACATATCCATTTGAATGGATATGTCATTTCCCCCCCAAAAAAATCAACAGTTTATAATTTCTTAGGAATTAAATTAATAAAAACATTGAATTAGCATTTAAGAACAGATGAAACTAACCTCTACAGTGGTAAATGTCAGACAGCAGGTGCCCTGTGGGTGTGAACTGGGGAGAGTGGGAGGATAGACTTCCTGGTTGCTGGCCAAGGCACATATTTTGATCTAGGTGGTGGCTTCACGGGTGTCTCCATGGGTAAAAACTCAAGCTGTGGACCCATGACTTGTCTTACTTTCTGCATGATATGTTTTAAAAAAGAGCAAGAAGAAGGTAGAACTTCATGGATTGTTGCAGAGACATTCATTTCCAGGGTTAAGATAAGTTCAAAGACCATTTCAGTTTGATAAACTGACTTATGAAACAAATGTGTTTTCCTCAAGATAGCCTAATGATGCTCCTGGCACCTTCAGGCCAAATAAGTGTTTTAAAAATTAGTGTATAAGAAACTAAACCAAAGAAACAAAACAAAATAACAAAACTGACTTCCCTGGCATGTTCTGCTATTTCTGTGTTTTAAGTCCATTCTCTTATGACCCTGAGAGCTTTTCAGTTAAGGGAGTACATTTGTCTGGACCCGGCAGTAGTGACTGGAAGAGAGTCAGAACTTAGGCAAGGTGTGGTGGCTCCCATCTGTAATCCCAGCATGCTGGGAGGCCAACGCTGGCAGATCCCTGGACCTCGGGAGTTTGAGACCAGCCTGAGCAACGTGACAAAACCCCGTCTCTACCAAAAGCACAAAACAAAACTTAGCTGGGCCTGGTGGTTCATGCCTGTAGTCCCAGTTACTTGGGGGGTGTGGTTGGAGGGTCACTGGAACCTGGTCAGTGAAGGTTGCAGTGAGCTGAGGTCGTGCTACTGTACTCCAGCCTGGGCAACAGATCGATAGATGGAGAAAGTTATATTTTGTGTTTTAAAAATCATGATATAGGCCAGGTTATGCATCAGTCATTTCTATTCATCTATTTAATTTAAAATTCTGATAGTGTAGTTATTGTGTTACTTGCTTTGGGAGACTTTCCTAAATGGAAGTTATAGAGTCCCTCTTTTCTAAATTTATTAAAAACTAAAATAAGAGGTATACAGGAGCTTAAAATAGAACTCAGCGTTTTTATGAGTGAGCAGGCAGTGAGCCAGAGTGGCTTTGAGGTAAAGAGAGCCCCTGATCTGCCTTTATATCTCAGGACCAAGGCCTCCCTAGTGCCTGCACAGCCCCCAAATCAGGATGGAGCCAAGCCAAGAAGTGGGTGGGACTTGGTGAGAAGGTGGACACAAGGGAGCTGGAAGTCTCTGCCCAGCACCCACCCTTCCCTGCCCTGACCCAGGAGGGGTCCGCACCTCCACACCCTCCTCTCATGCAGCCGGCCTGAGTGCCCCTCGTATCCTGAGTGGCCTGGGCAGTCAGTGCACGCAGGTGGTCCTGGGGTGCCTGCCCTGTGCTCTTGAAGTTGGCCAAGAGCCCCTGTGAGCTGCTCTCTGAGATCCTGAGGGTCTTCCCTTCTGGGTGAGGTGTGGCCAGTGAGGGCAGAGCCAGGCTTATGAGCCAAGGCAGAACTGAAAGGTGTGCCCTTAGGAGTGACCAGATCCTACCTCACCTCCTCCTACCTGTGTCACTCCAGACAAGACACTCAGGGCTGGGAGCAATGACATTCTCCAGGTCACAAGTGTCAGGAAGATAAATTCCACAGGCATAAGGCTTTCCAAAACTAGACAATCTTGATTCTGTATGTCACTGGTTTCAAAAACCATTTTGATGTAACACAGGGCAATGACCTCAATCAATATAACTATTGAGCATGCAACCTCCATCTCTGCAAACATTCCAGGCACTGACCGTCTCAGCAGCTGTGTTATAGACCACATAATTACTACATGAACACAGACATTTACAAAGGTGGAATTTGAGACCAGCCACAGTGGCTCATGCCTGTAACTTCAGCATTTCGAGAGACTGAAGCAGGAGGATTGCTTGAGGCCAGGAGTTCAAGACTAGTCTGGGCAACATAGCAAGACTCCATCTCTACAAAAAAATTCAAATTAGCAGGATGGGGCGGCACATACTTGGGGTTCTAGCTACTCAGGAGGCTGTGGTGGGAGGATGGCTTGACCCCAGGAAGTGGAGGCTGCAGTGAGCCCTGATTGGATCACTGCACTCCAGCGTGGGCAACAGAGCAAGACCCTATCTCAAGAAAAAAATAAAAGATATAATTTTGGGTAAAAATTCTAATTTTATTTGTATCCCAAAAAATGATTTTGAATCCTCTAACATGTTTTTTCCCTGCTTCACATATCTCTTTAGCAATTATATAGAGTCTATCGTGAGAGAGATAAAAGCAGATAGCAAAATTGAGGAAAGGTCATGAATTCTATACTTTTGTTACCTAATAATACATAAGGCATTTAATTTGTATTAAATTCAATTACAGTTGAATTTGTAAGGACTGATAAAACTTTAGCCATAGAAAAAGCATGGCTAAAGTATTAGCAGCATATATCTATACACTTCATATATATGTAGTATATATACACTTTATCCAAATTCCTCCCTATATATACATGGGTATATATTTACACACATGTATAGGAATTATACATATATACACACACACTATATATGTACATATATTCACATATATATTCCTGTATATAGGATATGTACATATATACATATTCCTATATATGTATATTCCTATAGATATGTTATATATCTACAACCAAATTTTTAATTAGAGATTGTTTCACTTACCATGTCTGAAGATCTGTGGAGTGGGGTACAGTTTCTTTTACCAGTCATCAAAGAGCATAACTCATGGAACACTGATTTCTCCATATGGGGTATTCTATTTACATGTAAATAAAACTTTATATTCTAAATCTGTGAAGCAGAGATGGTTTCCCTGTAGTGCATCTTGTATCTCTCATGGAGAGCAGCATTTTGTGCATGAATTAATGCCTGTGATTTATTCAGCTCACCAGTTAACCTGGAGGCCTTTTGCTCTTCTTTAAATACTTTAATAGTTTCTGCATTATAGGATGTAGTTGGTGCATTTTGGACTAGTTTGTTTTAGATGCAGTGACCTAATGTTATTTCTGGTTATTCCTCTATTACCTACAAGTTCTGCTTATTGAAGCATTCTGTAGAATTGTAACTGAAATTGAAAGAAAGTAGAGCCCCTTTCATGGGTCAGAATAACTTCTGCTTGCTAGCTTTGTTTTGACTTATTCAGTTTGGTTTTATGTGGTTGCCTTTACCTAGGAAATGTATATATTATAATTAACCAAATGAATAAGCAAGCTTCTTGTTACCGTTAGCAATGAATGCTCCTGTATGTCTTTATTTATTCAGGAAATAATCTGTTTAATATGCTAATTACCAAATAACAAGCATTTATTTATTTTTCTTCTGTTGTTACAGTAAAATAAAATAACTTTTAAGGTAAGAAGCACCATGTCTGTTTCTTAGCTTAGCCCAGTAATGCAGACATAACAATTATTAGGAATTAAGTAAAAATTCTCTCCTTATTTTTCTTTCTCACATAAATATTTGGTCATGTATGAAACATATAATTGTAGTTCTGTGCTCATCTTTCTGATCTGAGGAGGACCATATAGGCACAAGCACCAATTATCAAGGCGGTAAAAGAGAGTCTGGTCAGTTTCCCCTCATTTTATCTTTGACTTTTTTAAAGGGTCCCCTATTATCATAAGGCAGTGCTCTTTTGTTCTTTCCTTGGACCAAGTGTTTCTTTGTACTTATACTTTAAAACATGTATTAATCAGGGTTCTCTAGAGGGACAGAACTAATGGAATAGATACATATATAAAGGAGAGTTTATTAAGCATTAACTCACATGATCACAAGTTCCCACAATAGGCCATTTGCAGGCTGAGGAACACGAGAGCCAGTTCGAGTCCCAAAACTGAAGAACGTGGAGTCTGATATTCAGGGGCAGGGATTGTCCAGCATGGGAGAAAGATGTAGGCTGAGAGGCTAGGCCAGTCTCTCATTTCACATTTTTCTGCCTGGGTGGATTATATCCACCCAGGTTAAGAGTGGGTCTGCCTTCCCCAGCCCACTGACTCAAGTGTGAATCTTCTTTGCAACACCCTCACAGACACACCCAGACCCAGTAGTTTGCATCCTCCAATCCAATCAAGTTGACACTCAGTATTAACCATTACAAAACCTATGACCAGGTGTGGTGGCTCAGGCCTGTAATCTCAGCACTTTGGGAGGCCAAGGTGGGCAGATCGCCAGGTCAAGAGAACAAGACCATCCTGGCCAACATGGTGAAGCCCCGTCTCTACTAAAAATTCAAAAATTAGGTAGGCACGGTGGTGCATGCCTGTAATCCCAGCTACTTGGGAGGCTGAGGCAGGAAAATGACTTGAGCCAGGGAGGTGGAGGTTGCAGTGAATCGAGATTGTGCCACTGCACTGAAGCCTGGCAATAGGGCAAGACTCCCCCTCAAAAAACAAAACAGAACAAAAAACACATATCAGAAGATGTTCGTGATGAGAATTATTTTACCATCACTAATAATTTGAGAATCGAAATTTTGGCCCAGTGATGATGTGTTTGCACTTTTTATTTATACTTCCTGTTTAAAATTTGAAACTAATTTTTTTGTGGAAAAAGATCATTTGTGAAATGATTTGTTTGAATTTTATGTGACTGAGCACAAAGAAAATATATTTTTATTCTTTATATTTGTGCTTTTTAAAAAACTTGAACTTGCAGCTTTTGAGGAAAAAGAAAAGATAGTCCTGACATGACCTGGTTGATTTCATACGGGTAAGGTGGGGAAAAATTCCTGAGTGATATGTCTGCCATGGTAGAGTGAGTGACCCCAGCATTCTCTTGGAAACCTTCAGTTTTACAGTTGAGCTGACAGAAATATCCTCCATCTAAAAGTGAAAATAAAATGTTTCTATCAAAAGTTGTAAACAACTCAATAGAAGTGTTTTAGAGTGTTAATGTGATTTGGAATTAGGACAGTAGCATGAAGGCTGAGCTTAGTTAAGTAAAATCTCTGCTAGCTGATCATGAACAGATCAAAGCTGTCAGATGTCTGAGCTGTTTTCCTTTGACTTTTAGAATACAATTTAAGTTTTTCAAACGATGTAATGCATGGATTCGGGAATTTTCTTGACTAATCATTAACAGGGCGCCTTAACCTTAGCATTACCATATTCTAAGGAGTTTTGTTCATCATAGAAAATGTTATGTCCATCAATTGAGATTTAACATAATGCTGATTAACATTCAAAGGATTAAACATGTTATCTCTAACTTCCTTTTCTTTAAGCCTTGAAAATTGCCACATCAAGAAGAAATGAGCTGTAGAAATGATACAGGAAACCACCACAGCATGTGTATACCTACATAACAATCCTGCACAATCTGCACGTGTAACCCGGAACTTTAATAATAAAAAAATAGAAATAGAACCTTTCTGAAACACTGAAGATAATTCTGAATTCAAATCGGTGACGGTACATCCAAGACAGGAAGGGCCGTCAGGCCACAGCTATCATGGGAGCCATGCAGCAAGCTTTTGGCTGAGTGGCTGCTGTCCTGATTGCTGCTCTAAGGGTCATGGATGAACAGACTTTACCCCTTCTTATGCAAAAATATGAGAAAATGGAGTGTTGGCAATCTAACAACTGGATATCAAATGGCTGGAACTTAGCTGGGTGTCTATTCCATGATACTTTAAAGACTGCTTTGAACATCTGGGCTACAGTGCTTTTCATTTTCTCAGCAAAGTGAAGCCAACGTAAATAAGATAAGTGGGGGAAAATTAAGACCACCCCCACACACACATGCACATAAACATGCATGCACATACACACACAGCGCTGTCTATATTTTACAAACCTTCACTTTGACACCCCCCCCCACACACACACACATAAACATGCATGCACATACACACACAGCGCTGTCTATATTTTACAAACCTTCACTTTGACACCCCCACACACACATAAACATGCATGCACATACACACACAGCGCTGTCTATATTTTACAAACCTTCACTTTGCAGCAACGAGTTCCTTTAGTTTTAAATTGAACTCATAGGAAGAGACCCCCAAAAGCATTAGTAATTTTATGTGTTGCTTCTTTACTTTAACTATAAGCTGAAATGTTAAAACAAACAAAACCGCCTAAAAAAGCAAAACATGTTTCCTTTTAGTCCCATATTGATATAAAAATGATAGAAAACGGAAATAATCTTTGTATCTCTTAAGATGAGGATTGACTCTGAACAGACAACTCCAGTGAGACTTTCGGAAATAATTTAGTCATTTGTCTTTATAGAACCTGTGTTGTTGTTATTACAGCTGTTTCCCTTATTATTTTAATACACCTGACGCGTGGTCTTCAAAATAATACTAGGTTTTTCTCCTATGTTGAATTACTTCTAATATGGTAGATCTTTGTTTTTCTATTGCTTTGATAGCAATTAAAAACAAGATTTTAACTGACTCGTTTCCTAGGTTTTCAGTCAGCGTGCTCAGGTATTTGATAGGTTTCAGCTTTGGCTCACGGATCACCCGTGCTACTCTTATTGCCCAGCACCTAACTCGTGGTCGATTTCATTTTCAGCTCCCTGTGGAGGGCAGTACACGGGATCAGAAGGGGTGGTTTTGTCCCCGAACTACCCTCATAACTACACAGCTGGTCAAACATGCCTCTATTCCATAACAGTGCCAAAGGAATTCGGTAAGGATGTCTTTTTATTTTTTAATTCATTGTCATATTTTCTTTTGGGTCATTTTTCTATCATTTGATAAACAAGTATTCTAGCTCTTAGTGAAATAAATCATATAAAAGCAAGCAAGTTGCATTTAAGCAGCGGGGTTTCCAAACGTATCCCACACAATATCCATTACCATCCTTTTACCAATGTGATATTAAATGCTTACAGTCCCTTCTAGGGTTCTGATCCAGAATGACCAGAGAGAATTAATTTGACTTTCTTCTTAAGTTTCTCAAACATCGTTCTTTCAGTTGGTGGTTTTTATGAGCAAGGAAGGATTTCTCATAAAGTATCTGGTGGGTCAGAACGCTGTCTGTACATCTGTGCATAAATGGCTCATAAATTCAGTGAATTCAGTACCCAGGTCGTGATGGAAATCACGGCATCCTTGAGCCAACATGTAAGTGCTCAGAGATAGAAAAGCAGGCAGAATCCTGAGTGTGTCACCTGCTGAGCCCTGCTGTTCTATTTCCCTCCTTAACATGGCTCCCAACTTGGGGAAATTTTCCAAAACGACTTCATTTCCAGAAGGGCCTTCCCTGGTGGCTCTGTGCTTCACTTATGCAATGCTTACCGTCCCTCTCTTGACTAGGAAAACTTAGCATGGATTGGATTCTTTTCTGGAGTAAACGAGGTAGTAGCTGTTGTCATCTTAAAGACTATTTCCCTCTTTCCTATAGGAAAATTGAAAATGCTATGTAATCAAGGTTTTTCCTTACGTTTGTGACAGCAGTTACCCGCTCAGCATATAGAGCAGATAAAAATTCTAATGTTAGACTGTATTTTAGGCAGACATTGTTAACATATGACAAGAAAGTTATATGATGGGTGTGAAACTTGCATGTGTGTTTGCGTTTTAGTGTGGCCTTCGAGGTCCTTGCCACAGGTGTTTGCATTCCATTCCCTCTGTTTTTTCCTATCCACCCAGTGTTAGCTGAAGTTGACTATTGGCTGCATCTGTCACCTCCCCCGTTTTGCTTTTGGTATTCATTTGCTGATATGATTTCTTTTATTCCATTCTTGCACAAATCCTTCCTGAAGGACACTAGTGTTAGTGCCATCCCCACCGTGGAGCACTGACGGTTCCCGCAGCCGAAGCCCCATAGCCCTTTGTTCTCATTGCATTCTCATGATTTCCGGCATCAGGTAGACAGCACTGAACAGCTTTTCCCTGTTGGCAATTGAATTTGCTCACTAGGGCTGCGTGTCAGGGACAGGTTAGAACCCAGGTGAAGGAGGCTCCTCAAGGAAGGCATTGGGGCCATCTCCAGAATGAGCTGAGTGTTCCTCCTCCAAAATGAGCTAGGCGTTCCTAAAAGATGACTCTTGACATCTTGTACTCAAAATCCATATTCGTCGTGGAAATTTTCAAACACCTTAGAGCATGATAGTCCTGGGACAATGCTAATATCACCTTCCGTCCTCCTTCCTTAGTATCCAGTATGATGTGATTGTCAGCTAAATATTTCTTTAAAAAGAGTAGAAATTATCTATGGATGATTCACTTTTATGACCCACGTTTTTTACCTTCACTATGATAAAAATCTAATGAACTTGGGGAGGTGGTGGGTGGGTTAGGATGGTATGAGCAAGATCTGTAGAGAAATTAAGTCCTCTCCCTCTCTAGTTTCTGAAAAAAAAGTTTTTAGAGCGTTTCATCTATTGGGAAAATTCACCTAGCTTACATGCCTTCTTTGTGTTTTCCTCTGGGAAATTATAAAATCTTAAAAGGCAAGTTATATTAGATATGTGTGTATGGATTCAGTTACACAAATGTATGTGTGTTTATCTGTACACACCATGCGCACACACACTGTTACAGTTAGATGACTTCCATCCTGCTAATACAGTAATTCTTTCCGTTGGAATTCTGACACACTCAACTACTGCTCACACCTCTGTTTCTTGTTCATAATGGTTTAGAATGATTGTAGTGAAAATCTTACACATAATTAAGAAAAGGATTCGTTGTTCATTGCTTGTAAATATATACCAAATCACAGGTTTTTCTGCATGTTTAAAGGTCCTCTGTATCATTGGTTTCAATACACAAGCATTGGTTAAATTTGAAGTTGTAAAGCATGTAGTTACGTTTTACTTGGAGGACGTGTGTTTGCAAAACTTGCATAATCTGTAAGATAAAACTGTAGAGTGAAAAGAAGCAAGCAGTTCCTATTATATGCTGCAAAATCAAGTGTGTAAGTCAGTTTTTATGAATATGGTGATGTATCAATATGAATTTGGCATTATAACAACCTTTTGTGAGGAATTTTAAATTCCTCATTAACTCATCATGAGGCTTGATCTTTTGCTTATTTTTCATTGAATAAAATGTCACTAAATATTTAAAAATACATGGAAGCCTTTACGGATTTTCTTTCTTTTCTTCCTTTTTTTTTTTTTTTGTTTTGTTTTGTTTTTGGTGGAGTCTTGCTCTGTCGCCTAAGCTGGAGTGCTCTGGCATGATCTTGGCTCATTGCAACCTCCACCTTCCAGGTTCAAGCGATTCTCCTGTCTTGCCCTCCCAAGTCCATGTGATTACAGGCACCTGCCACCATGCCCTGCTAATTTTCGTATTTTTAGTAGAGACAGGGTTTCACCATGTTGGCAAGACCGGTCTCAAACGCCTGACCTCAAGGTGATCCACCTGCCTTGGCCTCCCAAAGTGCCACGTGTGAGTCACCACACCCAACCCAGATATTCTTAATGTTGTGTTTATTAAAAACAAAAACTTGCCTCGTTTAATGCTCAAATTTGAAAGAGAACAGTATTTTTTTTTCTTTTATTAAATACCAGAAGTCAAGAAGCAAAGTAAAATAGTTTCATCAACTGAAAAGTTAGAAAGCAGAAAAACTAAGTTAATATTTATTTTTTTACCAGATTCCAAGGATAAAGATCCTTTGGGGCAAATAATAGATACGTAGTAAAACCAAAAAGCTGCATTTAGTTTTCTGAGAGCATCTCGTGCCAACATTTCACCTCTTATTTCTCTTACTTTTTAGTGGTTTTTGGACAGTTCGCCTATTTCCAGACAGCCCTGAATGATTTGGCAGAATTATTTGATGGAACCCATGCACAGGCCAGACTTCTCAGCTCCCTCTCTGGGTCTCATTCAGGTAAGTCTCGAAACATGTTGCTCTTGATTTGGTTTAGACAGGTGGGGGATTACTATTTAACTTGTCTATTTTTTCTGCTTTGCTCTGAGTCATGAGAAATGTAATCACACGTATGCACGCAAACACACATGAATGAGCCCCTATGAAACATGAGATGCTATTTCACAAATTATTTTCATCCCATTCTTACCCCTAAAATCACATTTGGAAGTCCGTCTCCAACAAACGCTGTTGACACCCAATGTCCTTACTTCGAGTTATGAATAGTATTCTGTCGTTTTAATGTAGCACAATTTAATCCCACTTTTAATTGATAACTTACCTCTTATTTGTACCGATACATTTTCATCATTTACTAAGTAAATTTGGTACTAAGTACGTTTACTAAGTAATTTGCCTAGTAATCTCTATGCATTACAAGCTTAATTAAGGTTAAGAGTTGGTTATTTCCAGGTTTTCACTATTTCATTATTACCTAAAAGTTTTAAGACCTTTATTTTGTTATTTTCTACTGACGTTCAATGATGGATCTAAGAATACATCAGTCTGGGCATGGCGGCTCATGCTTTAATCCCAACAGTTTGGGAGACCAAGGTGAGTGGACCACGTGAGGTGAGGAGTTCAAGACCAGCCTGACCAACATGGTGAAATCCCATCTCTCCTAAAAATACAAAAATTAGCCAGGCCTGGTGGTGGGCACCTATAATCTCAGGTACTTGGAAGACTAAAGCAGGAGAATCCCTTGATCCTGGGAGGCAGAAGTTGTAGTGAGCCGAGATTGCACCACTGCCCTCCAGCCTGGGCAGCAGAGCGAGACTGTCAGAAAAAAAGAAAGAAAGAAAATGTTAAATATGTTGATTATTAGCAACACATTGCCCTCTGAAAAGCTTATGCCAGTTCACACACCTCTCACCAGTGCTTGAGACAGACTCTTCCATATTTTATGCATACTTTTATTTATTTATTTATTTCTATTATTTGTTTTTTTGAGATGAAGTCCTACTCTGTTGCTCAGGCTTGAGTACAGTGGCACCATATTGGCTCACTGTAACCTCCGTCTCCCAGGTTCAAGGGATTCTCCTGCCTCAGCCTCCTGAATGCCTGTGCATGCACCACTATGCCTGGCTAATTTTCATATTTTTAGTAGAGACAGGTTCCCCCATGTTGGCAAGGCTGATCTCAAACTCCTGACCTCAAGTGATCTGCCATCTTTGGCCTCCCAAAGTGTTGGGATTATAAGTGTGAGCCACTGCACTCAGCCTATAGTACTTTTAGAGACTAAAAATATACCTCAGAAGGCCTTTCCTGAATCCTTTAATTTTTTTTTTTTTTTTTTTGACTGCGTTTTGCTCTTGTTACCCAGACTGGAGTGCAATGGCGCGAGATCGGCTCACCGCAACTTCCACCTCCTGGGTGCAGGCAATCCTCCTCCTCTTTTTTTAAAAAAATCCACTTTGGATTCAATTACTTTTTTAAAAATTTAAGTAAAATTCTTTTCATTTTAACTAAAATCAAATTAAGGTGATTCTGAGCAAGTGGTTCACCGTTTACTTCCATCTTCTGTATTATCATAGGGCAGCCATTAGCGCTTTCTTCAAAGGAAACAGAAAATGAAATAATGATCACAATATATTTTGATCAAATGCACTGCCTACTCATGCCTAGGCCAGAGTTTTCAAATCTTTATGAAAACAACATATTTGTGTCTTAAACCAGAAAGTGGAAATGTTTTAAAAGTTCAAAGAATAAATGTGAAATTTCCAGTTTATTGCCATTATCCAAAATACTATTATCTTCTACAGTGCTATGCATTTTCTGAATCCCATTTATTATCTCTGTTTTCATTTCTAGGTGAAACGTTGCCCTTGGCTACTTCAAATCAAATTCTGCTCCGATTCAGTGCAAAGAGCGGTGCCTCTGCCAGGGGCTTCCACTTCGTTTACCAAGGTAAAAGCCACTCCATGTGTCACTGCGGCCTTGCCTAACACCCACACAGTGCTCTTCTCAGACACAGCACTCAAAGCATCTCAGTTGCATTTTTGTAATATTTAAGGAGTTGAAGGTGTTCATATGTATATAATAAGATTATTTAATAAAAATATCACAGTTTTAGGCTGGGCTTGGTGGCTGACACCTGTTATTCCAACACTTTGGGAGGCAAAGATGGGTGGATCACCTGAGGTCAGGAGTTCCAGACCAGCCTGGCCAACGTGATGAAACCCCATCTCTACTGAAAATACAAAATAAGCCGGGCACGTGGAGCATGCCTGTAATCTAATCCCAGCTACTTGGAGGGCTGAGGCAGGAGAATCTCTTGGACCCGGGAGGCTGAGGTTGCAGTGAGCTGAGATTGTGCCATTGCACTCCAGCCTGGACAAAAAGAGCAAAACTCCACTCAAAAAAAAAAATATTTTTTGACAGTTGAAACTCATATTTCTACTACAAAAGCACAATAATGTCTCATTTACTAGGTAGTGTAAGGGAATCCATATTGATCGTACTACCTTTCCAAAGCTCTTCACCTCTTGTAAGATGACTTTTAATACAATATTTTATCTAATTAAGTATTTTGTAATAGTTTAGATCTTAGTAACAATATATGAAATATATTTAAAATGCATTATACAATTTTACATTTATTGTAAATAGTAAGCTTAAAGGGCTAACAAAAAACAAAATATCACGCGTGCATCTCTTATCCTAACGCAATACCTATTTTGTTTTGTGCGTGTTTTATTTACTTTTGGCACTTTTACCCCTTTATATTTATTTTTTTTACTTAAGCCTTATTTAAAATATCTGATATTGCTCAAAGATTCTGAAAAGGAAGCAGTTTTCTGCTGATATAGTTTACTTTTGTTTCGTGTATTAATTATGGGAACTTGAGAAAATCACCATGTAAACTGTTGATACACTTTTGGAAGCTTGACGTAAGTCTTTGGGTGGAACCTGTCCTGAGTGTAATGACAGACCACGTCTGGAGATAAACTCTGTGTTCAGAAGTAAGGGGCAGTATTTAGTTTTCTAGGTCTCAGTTTTGCTGGAGGCTGGAGATACTACTGGCCACTCTCAAATGTTTTCTTCAGAAATGGAGGAAAATCTTTTCGTAGCAATGGTTTCTTTCCTTTAGTAAGGATTCCTTCGGAAAACATTACTGATAGCATTACATTTTTCAAAAAAAATGAATTATAACAGTGTCATATTATTTATAAACCATTTCTAAGTATCTCACATTGCAAAATTCATGATCTCTGGGAGGCCGAGGCGGGTGGATCACGAGGTCAATAGATCAAGACCATCCTGGTCAACATGGTGAAACCCGTCTGTACTAAAAATACAAAAAAATTAGCTGGGCACGGTGGCGTGTGCCTGTAATCCCAGCTATTCGGGAGGCTGAGGCAGGAGAATTGCTTGAACCCAGGAGGCAGAGGTTGTGGTGAGCCAAGATCTTGCCATTGCACTCCAGCCTAGGTAACAAGAGCAAAACTCTTGTCTCAAAAAAAAAAAAAAGAAAAATTCATGACCTCAAAACAGTTGAGTATAAAAAGCCTTCAGTTTTCAGCAATGAGATAATTTAAAGAGTAATGGGAAAAGAATGAGTTAACCAGGAAACAAAGATCTCTCTGATCCTGTGTTAGTGGCCATTGAATGAAGGGAGATGCTGATGCATTAAAAGGAGTTATGTTGTTATAAGGTACATCTTTTATTAAAATGTACATAATCGCCCAGTATTTTCTTGAAAATAGACTTTATTACAGAGTGGCTTGTTGAAGCATCCTGTCACTTGCTACAACTGATTTTGTTTAAATAAATTCTATCTCACTTTGCAAGAACAGAATCATGTTTAGACCAAAGTTTGTGAGATATGTAAAGAAACTGGGATACCTAAACATTTTTTCTCCGGGAAATACTCCTTTGATGGACCTTGTCTGTCTTTATGAGGGGCTTTCTTTGGTTTCTAATGAAGATTATAAAATATATCATATCATTAGGTAACATATTACATGCAAATATCCTGATGTTTTATATTCAAACATTGTCATTTGAAGGCATGTATTTTAAAAATCATGCTATTTAAAGTAAGAGATTATCACCAAAATGTTAAAGATACAGAGACGTAGAAAAGAACATCATTTATGGAGGAAATTGATTTTCCTTGTGCTCAAGAATATATAATGATTCTAGCATCCTTAATATTTTATAAAATTCTAATATACCTCCTTCTCTTGATTTGTTCCTGCTAGTGTGCTTATGCAAAAAAATTGATGTCTTTTTATGAAAACTAAGGTTTTTTGGAATTAAAGAACTAGAATCATAAATGCAACTTACATATTGCTCAGTAGCAATAACTTTTTAATCCATATGAAAAGTTAAATTGAACATTGAGTCTTGAGACAGTAGTTACATTGAAGCCTAAAATTATTTGAACGCTATTATATAAAAACTTTCTGAATACTGCTTTCTCACACCACTTACAGCTTCATTCTTTCATAAATTATTACAGCTTCAGATTGCAGAGACTTTACGATGTCCATGGTTATAGGATATCTAACCCCTGTTAACAGGCACAGTTCTGTTATAAAGAGCCGCTGGGGACTGCAGGGAAACATGTTTGCAGCAGCGTCAGGGTGCAAAAGTCGTGCGTGAGACTCCAGATATGCATAGATCATGGTCTCTAGCCCTCTGCTCTCCGCCTCTCCATGTCATTCTGGTTTATGATGTCAAGACATGATTAATGATGATGTTACCATCTTTCTGAACTTGTGAAGAAATGTTAGTATACAGGCTTTCTAATGCACTGTTCTAGTTAACCTATGCATTTGCTGGGTTTTTGTTTGTTTCCCACACTGCTGGGAGTAGAAGGGTACATTTGGAGAGCTTGAGAGAAGGTGTGAGTTAGGTCATGGGGCACCGCGGGGAAGGCTGTGGCGAGTGACCCTTCAGGATGAAACACTGGATAACCCTTCAGCATGGATGTATCCATGGCGAGCCTGCACTTGGAAGCAGCTGCTCTTTGGTTTGTTGCCACTGAATGAACCGGCATGGTCATTATCCACTCCGCCAGGAATGAAGCACTCCCTGGTCTCCAGTTACTTAAGGAGTGGCATGGAGACCGAGATAAGTGACCTTGTATTACCAGCCTGATTCAGTGACAGTGGAGCACTGTTTGCAGCTGCGGCTCAGGTATGAGTCCTGCCAGCCCAGCCTTTCATCCCCGTCTGAATCAGCAGCCACTTCCTCAGCTGTGATATAATCAAATAGAATTTAGAAGCAAAAGCTATGGTGAAGCTGGTATGAAAAGAAATTTCATTATTCCCCTCCCAAAGTATAAGAGTATCTGTAATCGTTGTGTTACCACAAAGGGGTCTCAATCCAGACCACAGGAGACGGTTCTTGGATCTGTCACAAGAAAGAATTGGGGAGAGTCCACAGAGTAAAGTGCAAGGTAGTTTCTTAGGAAAGTAAGGAATAAATGGCTGTTCCTTAGAGTAGCGGCCTGGGCCACTCAGCTCCTTAGACCTGCTCTTATTTCTTGATTAGATGCTAAATGAGGAGCGGATTATTCACGAGTTTTTGGGAAAAGGGGTAGGCAATTCCTGGAACTGAGGGTTTCTCCCCTTTATAGACCCTTTAGGGTAACTTCCTGACATTGCCATGGCATTTGTAAATTGTCATGGCACTGATGGGAGTGTCTTTTGGCATATAATACTAATGCATTATAATTAGCATATAATGAGCAGTGGGGATGAGCAGAGGTCAGTTTAGTCACCATCTTGGTTTTGGTGGATTTTGACCAGCTTCTTTACAGCGTGCTTTTATCATCAAGGTCTTTGTGACCTGTACCTTGTGCTGACCTCCTGTCTCATCTTGTGACTTAGAACACCTGACCTCCTGGGAATTTAGCTAGTAGGTCTCAGGCTCATTTTGCTTAGCCCCTATGGAAGATGGAGTCACTCTGGATCAAACACCCCTGAGAGTGTTAATATCTTAACTCTGAACCATGATAACATTTTTCCCTGCATAAGAAAGCTTTCTTGAAGGACATAGGAGATACATAATTCTTGGTTTTAAACATCGAACATGTTCAACTTTGTACATTTGCTTTTTGGCATCATGCAGAAAGTGTTTCATACCTGTTTTTTAGCTCCCGGGAATTCTCTGAGTGTTCACAGTGGAGGGGACTCCTGTAGCCTTCCCTCTGCTTTATGAGTTCCCTGGCCTTGTACCACCAAGCAGGGACCTGCAGAACCTGCATGATTGGCTGTGGTTTTACACATTTAGGAATCTTTGCCATTTCACAGAAAATATGTTAAACTGAAAGTCAGCATAGTCTTAGGACAATGCAGAAGCCAAACATCACACAATCTGTTACTTAGTAAGTCCAGCACAGCCTGCTTCTTCCAGGATGAGAAGTGGCCACTGATTCTATGCTATTCAGTAATTACATTGCGTTTAGAGACTTCGCCATTGGCCGGTATTTCTTGTCTTTCAACATTAGAATCAATCTGCGCAACAACAGAGGCCAAGGGAGGCAGAGCCTACATCCCTCTCTTCCTTCCTGCTTCCTCCAAGGCGCCTGTGGATTTAAGGCAGGGTGGTCACAGCTTCTGCACCCTTCAGAGGTGCATGATTGACTGTGCCTCCGTAAACCTTCATGTTGGAGAGCACCTCATCAGTTTCGCTTTCCTCAGGTGTCTTATGTTTATGAGTGGCTGCGTTCCTAGAGAGCCTGCTTCTCTTATTTGGTTCAGTGCAGAATTCAATGCCGCCTTTATTTCCTTCCAGGAAACATACTGACACCAAAATTAGTAACCTGTAAGGATTTACTGTGCCTTTCAAAGGGAAAAGGAAACCATATTTGTATATTGAACCTCCTCTGCGGTGCCCAGCTTATAAATGTCTATCGGCCAGGACTTTCTCTTTCCAAGTCATGTTTTCAGGGTCTCCGTCCCCAGCCTGGGTTGTCCTTTCCCTGGCTCCTCACCTGAAGCAGCACCCGCATCCCAGGCTCAGGAGCTCAGGGCTTTTTTTCTTCCAGGGTCTTCTCCTGGAAGGATTTGGTCTCTTTAGATTTTGTGGAAATATAGTTAATTAGGCCAGGCATGGTGGCTCCTGCCTGTCATCCTAGCACTTTGGGAGGCCAAGGCCAGCAGATTGTCTGTGCTTAGGAGTTCGAGACCAGCCTGGCCAACATGGTCAAACCTTATCTCTATGAAAAATACAAAAAAAAGAAAAAAAAAATGGCGGAGTGTGGCGGCATGTGCCTGTAGACCCAGCTAATTGGGAGGCTGAAGCAAGAGAATTGCTTGAATCCAGAAGTGGAGGTTACAGTGAGCCTAGATTGCTCCACTGTACTCCAGCCTGGGCAATAGAATGAGACTTGGCCTCATACACACAAAAAATAAATAATAATAATAATAAATCATATGGTCTCCTGAAAATAAACAGAGCTATAAACACAGCATTTTTATTTTCTCACAGAAAAAATCTTTTCCTACCCAGTAGTGTGGATGGGAAAGATGTAGATTAGGTTTGTTTTCTTGAGGTCCTTTCTGGGCAGGCAGACACATGTTGTGATTGATTTTTCTCTTTTTCTTCTTTTAGGTAGCATGAATTTTAAGGCTTAGTTGGTTTTCCATGTTAAAAACTCATATTTCTATCAAGCAGTTATAAAATGCACATATTGCACAAATAAGAGTGAATGTAAAATTTTGCCTGCAGTTCAATGATATCTGTTTTAATTCATTGACTAGTAGTGGCTTGTCAAACCTGATTTCTCAACCATGAGAGAGTAATGATTTTCAGACAGAAAATATCCCTGAGTCACTAAATCGAAAAGAAAGCTGCTTCACTTAGGGATCACAAGTGAATCCTGCATGCATTTGGATGTGTTTTATTATCCTTGTGGTTTTCACATCGACTGTCACAGGGGCAGTAAAGGAGCAGCACATATCTGTGGCTTAGAGCATTGGTGGTGTTGGCGTGATCAGAAAACCTGTCGCACTGTGCTTCCAGCTTTTCCCCTGACGGGTGTGCACGCGTTGGCAGTGCTTCCCACGTTCAGCACCGCCAAAGCCCCAGAGGGGGACTTCCTGTCTCCAAAGAAACGCGGGTGTCTGGCCCGAGAAGTCAGTCATTTTGTTGACCACCCTCCGTTCCAGGCTGACCTCATTCCTGCTCACTTTTCCACTGGACTGATTTCAATTTTGCTTCACAGCAGTGTGAAACATTTACTAAAAGACAGAGAATAATGACGATAGAGAATAGAATTTCTCTCCGATGCTGTCTGAAACGTCCAGGTGAAGGGGCAGAGCCAGAGGACTGGCAGAGAAGAGGGAGAGCCCTGTCTGATTTCCATCCACCTCCTTCACCGCCATTCCGTGGGGGCGTGATGCCTCAGTCCCACTGCTCCTCCCTGTGCTACTTTCTCAAATACTCAAAACTGCTCTCTCCACTTTCCAAACTTCTTCCTCTAAAAAAATTCTTTTGAAATTTTATTCAGATGCGGGTGTTATTCATTTATTGTCATTTCCTTGAAAATAGAACAGTGTAAAGTTCATGAAGAAAGTTAACAGTGACTTGTGTCCAAATGACCCTTGGTGCTGTATTTCTCTTTATTTTGGGGCCTTGGGTTGATAATGACACCCTGTATCTCTCAAATATACAGATATATTTGTATAGCTCTCAAATATACAAGTGAAAGGTGCAATATCTGAGGCCTCTTAGACAAGTAGAACCTTTGCTGCAATAGCAGGCGTTTTCTAAGTAATCCAGCGAAAGTAGAAAAACTACCACTGGCAATAGTTCTGCATTGTTTAGAATATCCTTGAGGTGATTGTGGAAGCCTCTGTGGGAGATAGACAGATACGTATATTGCCATTATTCAAGTCTACCAAATACTCAGGCATTCAAACATGACAAAAACCAATTTCAAAGAATATTTTGTTAAATGGATTGAACATCCCTAAGGTGAATATCCAAAGTCCAGAACGCTCCAAAATCTGAAATATTTTGAGCACCAACATGACTCCACAAATGAAAAATTCCACACCTGACCTCATGTGATGGACAGATCACAATAGAAAGTGCTGTCAACACTCACGCACAACATTACGTAAAATATTTTATTTATATTTTAAATGCATGCACATTATTTAAAATATTTTATTTAGATTTTAAAATGCAGAATATTGTATAAAATGGTGGCCTACTGGAAGTTCTCTGCAGTGCCGAGGAGCTGCTTCTGGTGCTACTGTCCAGGTTACGTAAATCCCTCTGGCTCGTGACCCATTTAAAGGGCACCTTGTTTTATGGGAAACGATTGAGTAGTAGCTAAACTCTAACAACTGCTGTTTCATGAAGCACCTCATCACCTTAGCGAGGATAAAGCACGTGTATAAGCTGTATATTAGACAGAAATGAATTTCATGTCTAGGCTTGCGTCCTATCCCTAAGACGTGTCATTATGTTTATGCAAATATTCCCAAATCTAGAAGAATTTAAAATCTGAAACACCAGACATTTCAGATAAAGGATACTAGACCTGTAATAGAATACTATAGTTATTCTGTATTTCATTTTTAGCTTGGAAAAGAGTGATTCGGATAAATCGTTAATTATTTTCCGCATCATTGCTCATAAAAGGTAGACGCTTTTATGAACTTTGCCTTCTGATAGAAAATACCTCAACGCCGAATTGGGATGTCGTTTAATCAAAATAATCTGCCAATTTCCATGGAACTGCTTCCCCAGCAGCAGTTACGCAAATTATGTCTGTCGTCGTTCTGGTTCAATGAAACAATACATAAATAAAACAGATTCCAGTTGTTAGAAAAAGCTGTGGGAATACAGAAGGATTGTTTTAAGAGAAAATGAGTGCATGAGCACTTTCCGTTAAAGGACTGTGCATTTGGTTTAAGAAATACAGGGACTGGGAAGAACGGAATCCCAGAGACAGAACCTAAACACTGTCTTTTTTATCGCAGAGGACAAAAACAAAATATGCAACTTTTGAAGTGCATAACTATTTTCAGAGTTTGCCTGGTGTGACGGACCCCTTAGGCAGTTGAAGTATTTTTTCATCTTTATCTCACACCCCTTTTGATAAACAGGACTATCTCCTGTAGGTGATAATCCCTGCCATACAGCCTGAGTAGTTATCTCACCCCCTGCCTTGCACTGATACTCACCTGTCCATACGCACCAGGCAAAGACCATGAGACACACATGCACCATTCCACATACTTAGGTTTTCACTTGCTGTAGCAATGAAGGCCACCTGTTATTATAGAACCCAGGAAAGTCTCATTAAGAGAGAACTGGAGAGGCTTAGGTTTTTATTATTTTTTATTACTTTTTGGACACGGAGTCTCAATCTGCCACCCGGGCTGAAGTGCAGTGCGACTCTCCTGCCTCAGCCTCCTGAGTAGCTGGGATTGTAGGTGCCTGCCACCACACCTGGCTAATTTTGTGTGTTTTTAGTAGAGACAGGATTTCACCATGTTAGCCAGGCTGGTCTCACACTCCCGACCTCAGGTGATCTGCTCGCCTCGGCCTCCCGAAGTGCTGGGATTACAGGTGTGAGCCACCATGCGCTCACCAGGGGTTGTTATAAGATTTGGGTTCACCCTAGGTGACTTTAGGGAGGACTAAAAGCAACATGATTGCACTTGGAACTGGTGTTCTCATTAGAAAATGTACCCTTTTAGGTTTCAACGCCATGCTGTAGAGCCGATCTCCAGGACATACTCCCTTTATGTAACAAACTTTATACCTGTCAAACAGTAACTTCCCATTTTCCTGTTCCCCAGCGCCTGGTAGCTACCATTGTAAATCTCTCTGGTTCTTTGAGTTCTGCTAGTTTCGATATCCCTGTATTTGTCCTTCTGTGACTGGCTTATTTTATGTAGCATAATGTCCTCAAGTTTTATCTGTGTCATCACAAATAGGAAGATTTTCTTCTCTTTCAAGGCTGTATAGTATTCCACTGAGTATTTACTCCATGTTTTCTTTATCTCTTGCTCTGATGATGGACATTCAAGTTGTTTGCATGTCTTGGCTGTTTTGAAGAATGCTACGTGAACATGAGAGTACAGAAATTTATTTGGGATCCCAGTTTAAATTCCTTTAGAGAAGTATACACAATTAGGATTGCTGGATCGATGCCACTTTTATTTTTAGATTGTTATTGCATCACAGTGGCCATTTTATAACAAATCCTCCATATGGTAGCTTTTCTCGTTAGGCTCAGAGACCTGTGAGGAAAAGCACATGTTGTTAGTCACCTCGTCTTCACCAGCAGGATAATTAACTTTAATCACCTGAATGTCAGTCAGTCCTCATAAGGCACTGAGTCTTTTTATGCTGTTTTCCTTATCTGAAATGACACTGAGATGGTCCTGAGAATGAAGGGCAGCTGGTAAAGTGCTCCTTACATCATTCTCCATAGCGATTTTGGAGTCCTGATTAACTTCTGTGTCTGCATCAGCTCTCCTTGGTCCCACCTTAAACCCACTTTCCACACAACGTCCTGGCTTGTTGATGGAGGTACAGACACCTGTGTTCTGTGTTTTGCTCCTAGCCGTTCCTCGTACCAGCGACACCCAGTGCAGCTCTGTTCCCGAGCCCAGATACGGAAGGAGAATTGGTTCTGAGTTTTCAGCAGGCTCCATCGTCCGATTCGAGTGCAACCCGGGATACCTGCTTCAGGGTTCCACGGCGCTCCACTGCCAGTCTGTGCCCAATGCCTTGGCGCAGTGGAACGACACGATCCCCAGCTGTGTGGGTAAGTGGTATCCCTAAGCAGCGCTCTTGGGCACGGGGCTGCTCACCAGAACTACATGTCTGTGCCAAAGCCTTTCCTGCTCTGTCCAGGCTACGTAAATCCGTCCAGCTTGTGATCTATATAAAGGGCAATTTGTTTCATGGGAAATAATTGAGTTAGTAGCTAAACCCTAAAAATTACTGTGTTTCATAAAACAACTCATCATCTTAACAAGGATAAAGCATGTTTTCCTCCTTATTTCTGAAGTACACCACCAACTCTAAAGTCATGGGTATAGGACATAATTTCGTGTTGGGAAAAAATCATTATCATGTGGCTTTGCTGTATTAGTTGTGTAATGTCCTTTTAATAAATCGATGCTGATGACTGTTTGAAAAGTAATAGGTAAATGCAGCCTGAATAACAATGACCTTGTTAGTTATAGTTTACTTGCTTCATTTTGTGTGGAAAACTGTAGCACAATCACGATTAGTACTTGAATGATTCGTATATTTTAAGTGCCTCTTCTTCTGAATTTGCTCATAACTACCATTAATATCATTTGGAGATTCAAGTCTGCATGGAGAAGAGAAGACTCTGCCAAGTTCTTTAAATTACAGTAGGTAAATTATTCTAAACAGAATTCATTTTGGAGATCCTGTGATTAGACGACATCCCTTCTTAGAGAACTTGAATAGATGTATTTATAGACTCAAGATCTATAAGATAGTAGCATAATGGCTAATAATCAATTATATTGCTAATTTAAAAGAGAATATACTAAAATTTTTCTGGGCTCAAAATACGATTTAACATATCACAGTTAATGTACATTTTCTCTTACTCTCTGATCACACCGCCAAAGAAAACCCCATGCCTCATCAATGCTGTCCCATGGCACTTTACTTCAATACATATGGTTCTGTCTTTTAGTACCATGCAGTGGCAATTTCACTCAACGACGAGGTACAATCCTGTCCCCTGGCTACCCTGAGCCATATGGCAACAACCTGAACTGTGTATGGAAGATCATCGTTACGGAGGGCTCAGGAATACAGGTGAGTCCTTCACGTCCTGGGTCTACAACAGGCTCAGCCAGGGTCTGTGGGCTTCCTTCTTTCATTCTTTTGTTCTGTCTTTCTTTCCTTCTCTCTATTTCTTTTTTCCTTTTATATTGGTTATTTAGAATACATATACGCTGTTTCTCTTACTATTTCTTCAAAATATTTATAATCATGTTTCTATTTTGAATACACATAATCAATTTTTTAGAATAAATAATATCAAAAGTACTGTTTATAGAAATTGTCCCTTCTGCCGGGCACAGTTGCTCACGCCTATAATCCCAGCATTTTGGGAGGCTGAGGTAGGCCGATCACTTGAAGTCAGGAATTAAACACCAGCCTGGCCAACATGGTGAAACTCCATCTCTACTAAAAATACAAATACTAGCCAGGCATGGTGGGAGGCACCTGTAATCCCAGCCACTTGCGAGGCTGAGGCAAGAGAATCGCTTGAACCTAGGAGGTAGAGGTTGCAGTGAGCTGAGATCGCAGCACTGCACTTGAGCATGGGTAACAGAGCAAGCCTCCATCTAAAAAAGAAAAAGGAAAATTGTTTTTTCATGGTTTTTTAAAAAAATGTGTTCATATAAGGCCGGGTGTGGTGGCTCAAGCCTGTAATCCCAGCATTTTGGGAGGCCGAGGTGGGCAGATCACGAGGTCAACAGATCGAGACCATCCTGGTCAACATGGTGAAACCCCGTCTCTACTAAAAATACAAAAATTAGCTGGGCATGGTGGTGTGTGCCTGTAATCCCAGCTACTCAGGAGGCTGAGGCAGGAGAATTGCCTGAACCCAGGAGGCGGAGGTTGCAGTGAGCCGAGATTGTGCCACTGCACTCCAGCCTGGCGCCTGGTGACAGTGAGACTCTGTCTCAAAAAAAAAAATTTGTCCATATATACATACACACACATACACACTTACATACATACATACAAACCTTAATTATGAAAAACCCCAGTGCCCCATCTGGTTAGACTAATTTTGTTGAGCCAAAAATGAATATTAACTTCATGTTATGATTTGGTAGATTCAAGTGATCAGTTTTGCCACGGAGCAGAACTGGGACTCCCTTGAGATCCATGATGGTGGGGATGTGACCGCACCCAGACTGGGAAGCTTCTCAGGTAAGATGGAGCCCATTCCCTCACCTTTGTTTACAACTCAAAATCTGCAAACAGCAGGAAACCAACATAAATAAGAACAAACCGTCCATACAGACGTTTTCCTACACAACTCTTCTGTCTCCATAGCGGTTGCTCTGGTGTTGCAAGTGTTAGAGTAAGACCACCAAGAAACAGGTGAGAAAAAAGAAAACTGTGTTCCCTGCGAGCAGGAAACCGACCTGAAAGTGTCAGGCAGGACACCTTTGTGCTTTGAGTGGCAGGTTCTCAGGCTGGCCATGGACAGCAGAAGCCAGGAATAATGATGTGAGGTAGGGAAGAGGCAGAGGTTAGGAAGCGGTTCTCAGCTCTTAGAATGCACAGCGTGACATTAAGCAGTCTAGGAAAATCACACTGAGCATGTGGCCTCCGCTGGTCCTGAGATTCTACCCTACACATGTGTAGCCAGACAGGAAACTGTAGGCCACTGCAAGTCCGCCCTCTCTTACTCTTTCTGGCACCCCCAACTCTCATGAATGCACCTGTCTTGAAGATTCTCTTTTCCAAATGCTTTGCAAGTCTTCCCTTCCCACTGCCCTGGAGCGTCATTCAGGTTTCAGTTTCACTCTTGTTTGGCGGGGTGTCCAGCCTCCAGATGTATGACACTGCTCTCTTCCACTTTGTGTTGTAGTAGCCCTAGGGCTCAAACTCCGTAAGTGGAAGAGCAGTGATGATGATCAATATTGCGATCGTCACCCTGATCATTCCCGTCCTCTCAATTGCCTACAGTGTCTGAGCCTTCACTTTGCCAGGTTATGAATGTATGTTAACACAGATGCTTAATTTTATCTTGAATATGGCTGGGCACCATGGCAAACGCCTGTTGTCCCAGCACTTTGGGAAGCTGAGGTGGGCAGATCACTTGAGATCAAGAGATCATGACCAGCCTGGCCAACATGGCAAAACCTCGTCTCTACTAATTAGCCAATTTGGCAACACCAACTAAGTTCTAGGAGATGTTTCTTATCTCTGTTTTACCAATGAAGAACAAAGATTAGATATTCGAGAATGCTCATGATTACACAGAAAAAGTAGTATTTTCCCTGAGTCCCCTCTTGTCTGCAATAGCTGACTGCCTCCTGGCTCCTACCCCACTCTTCACTCTTCTGAATTCTGATGCTTGTTGATCTCTACAGCAAAGGGATGCTGGAATTTATTTCCCCCTAACTGTGAACATTTCTTCACTAAACATTTCCATTCTACTTTTACTTAATAGATTAAAAGAAAAAAAAAAAGAAAATGGATAGTGCATAGCCCTTTCACAATGTCTGCCAGAGCGTCGATTTGATCACTTCAGATGACTCAGACATCTTATCTCTGGATCTCATCAGATAAAACTGTATTTTTATTTGGGCATGGCCATCTAAGGCATTGGGCAGTAAAGTGCCAACCTCCCCTCTTACTGTTATTGATCACTCAGGATCTCTGTCTGTCTGCCTCTGTGCTATTCATACTTCCAGGAGCTTTTGCTTCAAATAGCCCATTACAGTCCTTAAAAGCTAGAACTCAAGGTCCATCTCCACTAGGAAGACCCACTTTCTGACCACATAGCTTTTGCATAGTTTAATTGAGCATGTAATTTCTTAAAGTACCTGCTAGATATCAAGCACTGTGTTTGTTGTTAGGAATAAAAGATAAGGCCTCTGTCATCAAAAACATCATCACCACCACCAACGAGAGTTAAAATCTACCCAGATGCCAAGTTTAATGTAATTATGTGAATAATACTTGGTAAATGGAAAGCATTACATGTAGGTGTTGGGCTTTATAGGAGGGAAAAAAAGTCACATTTTTTAAAAAGATTTAAGAGAACAAAAAGCTACCTGGGTAAAATTAAAATATCTTAACAGATTAGTAAAATAAAGCTAGACAAATCAGAGAGAAGAAATCTTCCAGGTCACAGGAGCCTTGCAGTTCTGTGTTCGTTTCTCTACTCTGCACTCAAATATTCAATTGTGTTGGTCATTTTTAAGTAAAGTGTTCGTTTACTTTCTAGAGATTTAAGTTTCTTGAGAATCTATATTAATCTATGAGTGTCATGCACAGTTCCTAGCACCTGTCATGCATTTTATGAATTCGGTTGGTAATGCAGTTCTGACACTGATTACCTGGAGTTAGCATGGAGTTCATGCACTTGACGCTGAAGGCATGCTTCTCCACAGGACTCCCCTCTGATACCACCTGCACTCTGACCCACTGGCTTCAAATTTGGGGGTTCCATGGTTTCTTCTGTTTTTGATAGTTCCCTAGAGTACCTCACAGAACTTGAGAAAGCAATGGACTTATACATATGATTAAGATTATATCATAAAGGAGACAAATCAGGACCAGCTGAATGAAGAGATTCATATGGTGACATCTGGGAAGGTCCCAAACAGGAAGCCTCTGTGTCCTCAGGAACTCAACACATAGAAGTGCATTATCATCTGAGCTTTAGTGCAAGAGTTTTTATAGGGTTTTGCTTACATTGGCAAGATGGATTGATTTTTTGACTGCAGGGTTGATCTTAATCTCCAGCCCCCTTCCCTGCCAAGAGGTTGGGAGGTTGGGCTGAGGTCATGGCTCAAAGCCTCAACCCTCTAATCATATTATTAATTTTCCAGCCCCCATCCTGAGTTATCATAACCATAATCACCACAGTCGCTATAAACAGTGTGGTGTGGAAAGAAAGCTCCTCCATGGACCAAAAAGCTACTCCTGCCACCTGGGAAATTCCAAGGGCTTGGAGTTGACCTCCTGGATATCAGGGACAAAGACTAGAAAAATTGTTTCTTGCACCACAACTGTATATTAGTGATGTGAGCAGAATTTACACTACTATTTTGTCTTTGCATAGTTCTGAGATGTAACATATACAAGGAATTTTATATCTAAAATTCTGTTAACGAATATACAACTAGGTACAATATTGTAAGTGTGCAGATTCTGAAGTTAAATAGACCACTCAATTTTCACAGGTTAACATTTAAGAACATATATACTGTTAAAAAACATGTATATATTTTTGGGAGACCTTGGAGATGTTTTATATATGAGTGATTTACAGTTGTTCTAAGATGTTTTCACGATTTAAGACAATAGTGTTCTTGGGAATGAGCCTCAATGCCTGCCCGTCATCCTCATCTCAGCTGCTCTCCATCCTTGTCACCTGTGCTTATTGTGGGGCAAATATGAGAAGAACCATGCTCACGAATTAGGAACGTTTTTCGTTAGGGCCATGGCCATTGTGAGTATCAAGTCCATTTGTATGTTCACTCGGAAAGAATAATCAAGAAGTCTCTTTAATTGAACTCTGCACACACCAGATAATGTTCTGTGTTCTGAGGTGGGAGTTGAGAAAGGAGCACTCACGTTCTGTGTCTCCTGTGCAGGTTAGTATGGAAGCATCTGGCCCCTGTAGCTTTCACTTGCTCCTCCACAAGTGAAGAGGAATGAGTGCCCTGCCCTGGCTGGTGAGGGCCAACCAGAATGAAGAGATGATACGTTCATCTAGTTGTATGTGTACAGATTCTCTTAATCAGACACTGAGTAAAGGGAATGCCATTAAAATCTTTTTTTTTTTTTTTAGACAGAGTTTGGCTCTTGTTTCTCAGGTTGGAGTGCAATGGTGCGATCTCGCCTCACCACAACCTCCACCTCCTGGGTTGAAGCAGTTCTCCTGCCTCAGCCTCCTGAGTAGCTGGGATTACAGGCATGTAGCTACTTTCATATTTTTAGTAGAGATGGAGTTTCTCTATGTTCATCAGGTTGGTCTCCAGCTCCCAGCCTCAGATGATCCACCTGTCTTGGCCTCCCAAAGTGCTGGGATTACAGGCGTGAACCACCGCACATGGTCTAAAATCATTAATTCGAGTCTCTATTTGCCTCTTTCTCCTAATAACAGCTCAAGCAGACCCTGTTACCCCCTTTCTTTATGTTTCAACTGAAACCAGGTATCTAAGGGGCCTTCCATTCTTCTTTGCCACTGCAACCTTTTGGGTACATTTTTGGAGGTCGACTTTATAATTCTCCTGTTCTTCCTCAATACCTCGCTCCCTTGCTGTGTACCACAGGGCGTAAGGCCCAAGGTCTCATGAAGAAAATAGCAAAGCAGACATCGGCCTCAGGCTTCACATGTTCACCGCGCACACGTCTTCCAAAGCCAGCCTCCTTTTCTTTTGAGGGTTGCATGGCGTACATCTGAATTGAGAAAGCAGAGCATCCTTTTCCTTCTGGCTGTGAATCTTTCCTTTGTTCACTCTGCGTCAGGCATGTGGAACTGTGACGAATAAATAGCTGTTTGGACACAAACGGGATTTGTTCACAGTTCAAGTTAGTGTTGTCAGGGGTAGAATGAATTTTAAAATGGAAATGAAGAAGGCTAGGATGGGCCTGTTTGCATTGGCTTTGAATTGACGTGAACTCATAGTTTTAGTATATATATATATATATAGTTATAGAAATAAACACTGTGTGTGTGTGTGTGTGTGTAGCTATATACGTAAATATAGTGCGCATGTGCATATGTACAGATTGTATTTTCTGCCTGCCTTTTGAGAGGTATAAAACATTAATTTAATTTCGTCAGTATAAACTTTTAACTTTTATTTTTCTCGTCATTATTTTTTTAGAGACAAGGTCTCACTCTGTCATATAGGCTGGACTGCAGTGATGCATTCACAGCTCACTGCAGCATTTATCTCTTCAGCTCAAGCCATCTTCACACCTCAGCCTCTTGAGCAGCTGGGACTACGGGCCCATGCCACCAGGCCTGGCAAATTTTGCTGTTTTTGTTTTTGTTGTTGTTTTGTAGAGACAAGGTCTTGCTCTGTTGCCGAGACTGGTCTCGAACTCCTGACCTCAAGTCATCCTTCTACCTTGGCTTTCTAAAGTGCTGGGATTATAGGCATGAGCTGCCATGCCAGGCCATAAAGTTCAATTTCATACAAAATTGTTTATCTTGAATTTTTCCTACCACAGCTTTA